CTGGCCTCAAGGTCACAAAATTTGAGATTATCACACAGATAAGCGCCAAGCTCAAGGTCACATTGCCTGAGCTCTTAGCTGCCCAGCCACCCTGCCTTCTCCGGGCTTCCATTCTGCCTTGCAGAGAGCACTCTGACTTGTCATTGTAGCTTTGTGTGTTTCTCCCCTTGGATCTGTCCTCTTGGGACAGAGCAGCCAGGCAGCAAATCAAATGAAGAAGGCACTGGGCCTGTGGTCATCTTCTATATGCTTTCTACACTTCTCACACGATCTTTTCATTTCTTTGTGGGAGGTGTTTCTTGAAACTTCACTTATGGCCATCAGCATGGGTCTGTTAGGCCATGCATGGGACTTTGATGCCGCAAATGTTTTTCAGTTTCTAGTATGTAGCAGCACTGTATTTAGTTATATGGACATTATAAAAGGGAGAGAAGACGTGGCCCCTGCCGTCCAATTGCAGAGATGAGAATTACCATATGGGACACAGCTGGTGATTAAAGACAATGCATTTGAATATTTGATCGTACAACACATGCAAATTCTTTGGCGTGACATACAAGACCTTTTGCGATCTGATTTGAGACCACTTTTCTAACTTTACTACTCTTCCAGAGACCCCAGTCATACTGATGTGTTTTGCAGTTCTTTGAACCCACTGTGCTTTAAATGCCTCTGCTCCCTTGTACATCCTGTTCCTTTTGCCTAGAATGGCAACTTCTGCTCATCTTTTATAACCATCTCCAGTGCTGCTTCCGTGAGACCTTTTTCTTTGGGTTTTCACAGCCCTTGTACATTCTTCTGTAGTGTGACCCTTATCATATTGTCTGTAAGTCAGTTTTGTAAGTCTTATGTGCCTGTTAAATGTAGAGCTGCTTGGGAGCAAGGCCCGTGTCTCAGTGATGGAAAAATGAATGACAGCATTAAAATTGGATACACAGAAAGGAGGGTGGGATGATGTTCCAACATGGCTGGTGGTCAGTCCGGAATCACACTTGACTGCAAGGATAGAGATCTAAACAAAGGGGCCCATTCTCTCCTGTGAAACAAGTTTAGAGGTAGGTAGCCAAGTGCTGGTGCAGGGATGCTGCTGTGTCATCAGGAGCCTAGGTTCTGTCGCTCTGCTCAGTCACCTTCAATGCATGGCTTCCCTCTCCAAGGTAACTTCATGGCTCTAAATGGCTGCCGGAGCTACAGCCATCTCATTCATCCCAAACGAGAAGGGCTGTGAGGAAAGAACAAGTCTGTGAAGGTAGCCTCCTTTAAAAACATGTCTCAGGGCCGAACCTAGCAGCTCCACTTGAATCCCATAGGCCAGGGTTTAGTCACATGGGCACCTCTAGCTGAATTTTGAAGAGATAACTATATGGCAGTAAATACAGGTCAGGGCACTTGGGTGGTGCAGTTGGTTAAGTGTCCAACTCTTGGTTTCGGCTCAGGTCGTGATCTCAGGGTCATGGGATCAAAGCCCGTGCCCGGCTCTACCCAGTGCGGTGTCAGCTTGAGTTTCTCTCTCCCTTTTCCTCTACTCCATTACCCCCGCTCTCTAAAATAAATAAATAAATCTTTTTAAAAATATAGGTAAATATAAATTATAAATATAACAAATATTTGTGTTGATTATATTTATTATAATACTTATATATAATTAAATGTAAATATAAATATATGATAATAACTATTTGATTTTAAATGACATTTCTTTAAAAAAAACAAAACAGCTTTTAGAGCCAAATAGACTTTTCTCCAAAGAAGGTATAAATTGGTCCATAAACATGTGAAAGGATGCTCACCATCATTAGTCATTAGGGAAATGCAAATCAAAATCACAATGAGATACCACTTCACACCCTCTGGAATGGCTCTAGAATCAAAGAGACATAATAACAAGTGTTCACAAGGACATGGAGGAATTAGAAGGCTCCTACATTGCTGGTGGGGCTATAAAATGGTAGAGCCACTTTGGAAACCAGTCTGACAGTCCCTCAAAATGTTAAACACTGAGTTACCATATGACCCAGCTAGCTATTCCACTCCTGGGTGTACATCCAAGAGAATCGTGGTGAAGATGTCTGTCTGCATAAAAACTTGTACATGAATGTTCACAGTATTACTATTCATAATAGCCCCAAAGTGGAAGAAATCAAAATGGCCATCAAATAATGAATGGATCAACAAATTGTGATATATCCACATAATGGGATACTATTCTGCCAGAAAAATGAATGACATAACTGATACGTGCTCAACATGGATGAACCTTGGAAATATGCTGAGTGAAAGAAGCCAGTCACAAAAGACAACATAATGTATGATTTCATTTATATGGAATGTCCAGAACAGGCAAATCTATAGAGACAGAAACTAGATTAGTGGGTGCCTAGGAGTGAGAGGGAATGTGGAGTGACTGCTAATGAATTTCTTTTGCGGGTGATGAAATTGTTCTAAAATTAGATAGTGGTGTCGGTTGCACAACTTTGAATATACTAAAAACCATTATACACTTTAAAAGGGGCACATTGTATGATATGTGACTTATATCTCAATAAAACTGCTTTTAAAAGCTCTTACCTGTTTGTAAGACATATCTTCAAAAGTAACCTCAAAAGAAATGAGTTGGTAAGCAGTGGGATGGGGAGAATGTCCTCAGACCAGTTAACATTTCAAGGACTGTATTTGTCTTCTCTTCATTTGAGTCCTGGCTTAAAAAAAAAAAAAAAAAATCTGCCCTTGGTCAGGGTCAGATCCCTCTGGCTGGTCGCCCAGATGACTGAGATTCTGAGTAGTTTCTTTGTTCTACAGACTTATTTAAAAAACGAAGTATTTTTCTGAGTCTCCAAAGCTAAGGAATAAAGATGCCAGGGGGTCAGCAAATAGACATAGGAAGCCACTTATCTGGAAACCAGGATGTCAGAAGGGTTTGCCCTGTGGAACTCTTGTTCCTTGGAGATTTTGTCGCTGATAGATGGGCAGAAGCAGTTCAAGGGCTGTGAGGAAATCAGACTGTGTTTGGAAAGCTTCTGTGCTGGGAGTCTGCACACAGGCAGCTCCCACCTGACCAGGAGCTCTGTCTTGTCCGTCATCAGGGAAATGGGAGAGATAATAATCTCACCCCGGGTGGTCACACCAGATCATGCCTGTGAACCTACTCTGTAAACGGGGTGGTGCACCTCAGGGGTGAACTTGGGGTGGCTCCAGAGGACACGGTTTGAAAGGTGAAAGAATGAGGATTGTCTGGTGGGAGAAAAGCACCATGGACAGGGTGGGGAGTGGTTGTCAGGATGGAAGGTAGAATTGACAGTGGGAAGGCTGTGGTAACAAGGATTGTCAGAGGCCCTGGCCAGCAGTCCTTCCTCTGCTCTAGAGGCCGACACTACTAGGCCCCTAGCACATTCCTAGTTTGCCTTTGGGGACAACAGGGGCAACTGACCTACACTGCATGGAGATGCCAGCAAAGGTGATTCCCTTAGGTCTACCTTTCCTACATGTTCTGGATTCTTTTATTTTTTTTTAAGATTTTATTTATTTATTTATTTGAAAGAGAGAGAACGTGCGCACGCACATGAATGAGGGAGGAGCAGAGGCAGAGGGACAAGCAGACTCTGCTCTGAGAGTGGAGCCTGACACAGGGCTCAACCCCAGAACCCTGAGATCATGACCTGAGTTGAAACCAAGAGTCGGATGCTTAGCTGACCGAGCTACCCAGGCACCCCTGTGTTCTGGATTCTTGAGCATCTTTTGCGGAGGCTCATGTTCTCACAAAGCCCCTCAGGAATTAAATAAGTCATCATTTTTGTGTAATGCAAGATCAAGAAGTGACCTTACATTTTTGTCAGTGTATTGATATATGACTGAAGAGTGTCCTTACAGGGTTCATTTTGATCAGATAAATGAAACTTTCAGATCTGATTACAAAACCCTAGTGGATTTTTCCAGCCATTTTTGTGCTTATCAAATTATTCTTCACACTCCCTCTCTTCAGCCAGTGGTTTATTTTTTATATATATTAAGAAGACAAGAATGAAACACAGTCTAGAAATATGTCAGGGTAAAAACCACCATAGCACCTAGTGGTGTTCAGCTGACCCAGACATGAGTATGCTTATCTGCTAACCCACATATGTCTGCTTGATGAGCACTCAGAGCCCTCAAGAAGTTCTATTAAAGTGGGAAAATATTTATTATAGTTCACTGATTTTAAGGTATGTGTTTTTTCCATTTTAACATCTCTTAAACTGTGATATCTCTTATAGTCAATAGCATCTGAAATTGATATTTTTTCTTTCTTGTAAGTTGGTGCATCTTACAATCAATTACATCAGACCTTGATTTGATGAAATGTGGCAAATATTAGTCATTGAATTGAGAAAATTTATTCTCCTCATTCTTTTCCATCTGCCCTTGGATATACATGCTGAATAATTGCATCCCCATCCTTGCATTGCCACCAGGAACTGCCCCATCCCCATCCTCCAGAGAGCCAATAAAACATCTTTTTTGTGTTTGCAGGTTTTTATCCATAGACCACAAGCAGATCTTCCACTCCCAGGTCTCTAACTGTAAAAGGTACAGTGGAACCTTTCTCCCTTCCCTATCTTTTCCATTCCTCCAGCACCCCAGGGTTCCTCCAAGAGGTACTCAGTTTGTATGACTGTCCCTGGAACCATTTCTGGAATCCGGTCATCCCCAAGGCCCTTCCCAAAGTAACCCACTAATGTGGGTTCATCTGATGCTGTCTCTGGGAAGAAAAAGGAGGGACATCCCTTTGCCTTCCTGTGTGAGGAGTGATCAATTATTTCCTTATCCTTCCTGGACAGGACCTGCTGGCTCAATGACCTATAAAGGCCATTTCAGCACTTCCATTCTGTCTGTCTCCAAGGCTTCACCTTAGGTAAGAACTGTCACTCTTGTTCACCTCTCAGGGGGCTCTGACTTTCTACAGCTGCAGGTCCATCTGGTCTGAGATGGACAGTATTACCTAGCAGGATGCATACTGTAGCAACATGACTGACATCAAGAGCAACCGAGAATTGTACCAGCAGTACACAGCCTCGGCGCCTAGGCTGCTGGCCCGCATCTCCGAACTGCTCATCAGTTGCCGGAACGCAGGTATTTCTGTACCTAAGGGCATCAGGAACATCTTTGAGTTCACTTGGGAGGAGCTCACTGCTGACCCCATGGTGCCTACCCCGTCCGACATCATGGGCCTGGAGATCAACATTGGACCCCCACCCGTGGTGCTTATGGAATCAGCCGCCACGCAGGCCCCTGTCCAAAAGAAGCCACCACCAGTACCAACACCACAGTTGCTGCCCACATCCACTGGGCGAGCCAAGATAACCCAGTCTCCCACCCATGGCTATCTAGCACAGTCTGGCCAGGAGACCCTGCACAGATTCCAGCAGCAGTCTATCCACCTGCTGACAGAGCTGCTCACCCTGAAGATGAAGACCATGGTGGAGTCCGTGTCTGGTAAGGCTGGCTCGCCAGATTCTTCTCCATTTTTTTCTGAGCCCAGAAGGATCTGCCCAGACTGATGTGTGTGTCCACCACAGCCATCCCAGACAGGTATATAAGGATATGCTGGGGATAGGTGGCAGCCATGGGTCTGCTGTAGGAATTGAACCCCTTCCCACAACCCCCTCAAGAGTCATCCTCTCAGCCCTTTCTGTTCTCCACTTTTTCCTCCCATTTCCCCAACGTTGCTGAGTCCAGACTGGAAGAGGCTGTGGAGAACAGTGTGAGGCCAGAGGTACTGAGGGTGGAGTTTGTAGAAATGATGCAGAAGTGGAGAGAGGCAGCACCCAGGAGGAGGGGGTAAATTGAGAGGACTGATTAGTGGTCAGCAAGACCATCCATGGTAAGGGTGTAACCCTAAGATCATGGAGGGTAGATAAAGCCATACCAGTACTTGAGCCTTCTAGATGCTTCTAGAGCCTTTTAGATGTTATTTTCCATACTAATGGCATCAGTCCCCTGGCCTATGGGTGGGAAGAGAGAAGGGTAAGGGGGGGCAGAGAGCAAAATGCCACCTGACAGGTCTTGAGAGCTCAAGACCCTTCCATTGGGAAGACCCTCATAGTTGTTTACTCTAGGAGTAGATCTCTCTACCCTTATTTCCTGGGCCATTTACAGAGGTCCTTTCCTGGAAGCATTAGCCCCATGCTGAGAGGAAAATGAGTTGCTTCAATGATTCTTTTAGTAGGTGCCAATCCCCTGGACATCACAAGGCGCTTCGTGGAGGCCAGCCAGCTTCTCCACCTCAATGCCAAGGAGATGGCTTTTGACTACCTGATCGGCACAATGGGGAGAAGTAGCCGGGGTGTTGGACTGATAGGGAAAGGTGGGTACCTGAGCTTCAGCCCTTAGGTGGAAGCTCAAATAGTACCAATAAGAATGCAAGATAGAAAGGTCAAATCCCCAGTTTAAACATTTGACATCTCTAAGAGTTGAGGTGGATTCTCAGAGAGATTTCTAGAGCAACAGAGATTCTCAAATGCTGCAGGTGAGTATGTAAAGTGGTGCCGTTCCCCTGGAGAGCAGTTTGATAGTGTCTGCAATGTGTAAGACGCTCTAGCATCTTACAACCCAGCAATTTCTCTTCTAGGTCATTCCCTAGAGCTGTGCTTTTCAAACTATCTGTGGTGAAGGACCAATTTGTAAAATTGCCAATCTCTTGTGGATTGACCTTTTCAAAAATATGTCACAGCAATGTCAAATTGCCACAAAGTTTTCTAAATGTTTACTTTTAATTTTCATGCTCATCTAGTCATGGCCTGGTGCAGATTCACAGCAGTCCACTGGTCACACTTGAGAGTCACACTGGCACACGTGTGCAAGTTGTACTGAATGTTTATTGCAGAACTGTTTAGAATGGCAAAGGAAAATAAAATTGGAAGCAATCTAAATGTCCCTCAATAGGAGAAATACAAATTATAGTCCGTTTACACAATGGAACATAGTGAGAAGTAAAAATCAAGCACTTGTACAGCATAGGGACTATAGACAATAATATTGTAGTAACTTCATATGGTGACAAATGGTGACTACACTTATTGTGATGAACATTTTTTAATATATTTTTTAGGTAATATTTATACCTGATGTGGGGCTTGAACTCATGACCCCAAGATCAAGAATCACACACTCTACCAACTAAGCCGGCGGGGCGCCCCCTGGAGCATTTTGTAATGTACACAAATATCGAATCATATTGTACACCTGAAACTAAGATAATAGTATATGTCAACTGTACTTCAATTAAAAAGAAAAAAATAATAAACGAAACAAGCACTAAAACACATATCATATAGAAAATTCTCAACAAATAGTGTTAAGCAAATAACGGAAAGCAAGTTTTAGAAGGATACATTTGGTATAATACTATTTAAATAAAATTTTTAAAAAAGTTAGTGTATTGCGTATGGGTACATTATGCAAAGTACAAGTATAAAAGCGTGAAGGGGAGTGCTAGGAGCAAAGTTGGAGGAAGTGTGCTCTGGAGAGGGGTGTAGGGGAACAGGATCTGAAAGACACAGCTATTCAGTCCTCTCTAATGTATCTCTTAAGCGCGAAGGATATACAAGTACAGTTGACCCTTGAACAACGTGTGCTAACTGCCCAAGCAGTTGAAAATCCACATGTAACTTTCGACTCCCCCAAAACTCAACTACTAATAGCCTGCTGTTGACCAGAAGCCTTAGTGATAATATCAACAGTTGATTAACACGTACTCTGTATGTGTATGTACCATATACTGTATTCTTACAATAAAGTAAGCTAGAGAATAGAGGATGCTATTAAGAAAATCCTAAGGAAGAGAAATACATTTATAGTACTTAACCATATTTATCAGAAAAAATTTGCATGTAAGCGGACCCACATAGTTCAAACCCATGTTGTTCAAAGGTTCATTTTAAATGCCTAAAAGTCATCCTGACTGTTAAGAGGTTTTATGGGGGAAGTGTAAAACATTTTATCTCATCACCGTTCACCCTCACCTGTAAAATCCATTCCCAGCTAGCATCTCTCCCTGCCCACTGGATGTTTGTCAGGATACCTTTGATGGTCAGAGGTTCAACATCTGATAATATACATGTGCAGTACAAATAAATGGCATGGTAAAATTGCCATCCTTGGGGAAAAAATGTGGGACTTCATGAAGTCAGTGGAAGTGATGTTGGAAAGCTGCTCGGTTCCCACACAGAGCCTTTGATTGCTGGCGAAGTGGAGCGAAACTCGTCAACTGCTGGAAACAGGAAAATCGTCTGGGGCAGTGACTCCATGGAGAAAGGATGATTTGGGTATCAAAGGGTTAAAAATTAAAGCTGATAAAGCCCTTGAATATTTTTGCAAAGGCAAACATGGAGGGACTCATATTTTATTGCTCTGTACAGCCATTCAGGAAAACAGAAAATCACCCCACCTCAAAAAAATGACACAGTCATTTTTATTGCTTTTAAGAATTAGTGTACACTTACAATATCAACAAATTTTTGTTAAATACAAGGTAAAATAAAGTTATTTTGATAACTTTTTTTGAGAGAGAGGGCGTGTGTGAGCATGAGAGGAAGGGTAGAGGGAGAGGGAGAGAGAGAATCCCAAGCAGACTCCATGCCTAGCGCAGAGCCAGACTTGGGGCTTGATGTCATGATCATGAGATCATGACTTGAGCTGAAATCAAGAGTCAGATGCTAAACTGACTGAGCCACCCAGGTGCCGCTATTTTGATGACTTTTATTTTTTAGTCTCAATCTAAGTATGCTTTTTTCTTTTTCCTTTTATTAAGTTTTATTAAGTTTTTAATTTTTTGTTAAAGATTTTGTTTATTTATTTGAGAGAGAGGGAGAGAAAGCACAAGCAAGGGGAGGGGCGGGGGGGGGGGAGAAGCAGACTCCCTGCTAAGCAGGGAGCCTAACTCAGGGCTCGATCCCAGGACCCTGAGATCATGAGGTGAAGGCAGCCACTTAGCCAACTGAGCCACCCAGGTGCCCCTTAAATTTTTAATTCTAATTCCAATGTAGTTAACAAAGTGTTGTATTAGTTTCAGGTGTACAATATAGTGATTCAGTAATTCTGTACATTACTCAGTGCTCATCATAAGTGTACTGTTAATCCCCTTCACCTGTTTCTCTTCCCCGCCCCCACACCTTCCCTCTGGTGACCATCAGTGTGTTCTCTGTATTTTAAGAGTCTGTTTCTTGGGGTGCCTGGGTGGCTCAGTCATTTAAGCATCTGACTTGATTTCAGCTTAGGGTCATGGGATTGAGGCCTGTGTTGGGCTCAGTGCTAAGCATGGAGCCTGCTTGGGGTTCTCTCTCTCATTCCCTGCCCCTCCCCCTGCTTGTGTGCTCTCTTTCTCTCTCAGATAAATAAGCAAACCTTTTTAAAAAAGAATCTGTTTCTTGGTTTGTCTCTTTTTTTCCTTTTGTTCATTTGTTTTATTTCTTAAATTCCACATGAGTGAAATCATATGGTATTTGTCTTTCTCTGACTTATTTTGCTTAGTATAATACTCTCTAGCTCCATCTATGTTGTTGCAAATGGCAAGATTGCATTCCTTTTAATGGCTGAGTAATATTCTGTTGTGTGTATATATATATATATATATATAGCATGTCTTCTTTATCCATTAATCTGTTGATGGTTGCTTCTGTAATTTGGCTATTGTACTGCTATAAACTTCAGGATGCATGTATCCCTTTGAATTAGTGTTGTCGTGTTCTTTGGCTAAATACTCAGTAGGGAATTACTGGATCATACAGTAATTCTGTTTTTAAGTTTTTGAGGAACCTCCATACTGTTTTCCACAGTGTCTGCACTAGTTTGCATTCCCACCAACAGTGCATGAGGGTTCCTTTTTCTACACATCCTTGCCAACACCTGTTGTTTCCTGTGTTGTTGATTTTAGCCATTCTGACAGGTGTGAGGTGGTATCTCATCATGGTTTTGATTTGCATTCCCCTGATGATGAGTAATGTTGAGTATCTTTTCAAGTGTCTGTTAGCCATCTGGACGTCTGGATGTCTTCTTTGGAGAAACGTCTGTTCATGTCTTCTGCCCATTTTTAAATTGGGTTGTTTGTTTTTTGGGCATTGAGTTTGTTTTCCTTTTCTAAGATAAAGTTCCAACTGGACTCCCCACCCCCACACCCCCACACCCCCACTATTTACCAGACCTGGAGGTCTTTGTTTTAAGGGAATTTGTTCTGTGCCGGTTCTGTTCAGGGTCAGCTATGCCCTGATAACACAGGCCCTCTAACTATGCTGTTACTATTTATACAGATGGTTACCAGCATAAGTGGATTCCTGCACCTCGTGTTCTATGTAGAGCTTAGAGATTCATTTCATTTGGTCGGGAGATACCGCCTGATGGTCTGTTGCATGGGTAGGAAAGTCCCACCTGGCCCACCTACCCACCCTCAGATCTGCCCATGGTGCTCTCTTACTTGAATATAGTGTTCCCTCACCTTGAAAAGGAAATGGTTGTTACCATTAACATTCTACCTCATAAGGTCCTTGAGCATTCTTGAAGGATCACAGATTTTCACCTGTGATACAGTGGCTTCCTGCATCCCTTGTGGGTTGTGGTTAATCTAGTGGAGGAGAATTTGCAGAGAGCTGAGCTGAATTCTGGAGAGGCTTTGATAATTTCTGCATCCTGCTGCATTAGCAGAGTGTTCTACTACACTCACTAGGAAATCTCTCACTTTTCGGTATGTGGTTGGAAAAAAAAAGAAAACAAGCTTAGGGTTGGGAAAAAAAAACAAGCCTAGGGTTGGAAAAAAAAAATCTAACCAATAAAATATAAATGAAGGGGTGATCCATTTCTCTTGGAATAGCATTGATCCTGGAAGGGCTTGAATTAGTCTTCACAGGGCATTAAAAAGAAGATTCAAACCCTATTGACTTATTTTGCATGACTTTTGTTTTTCTGGACCATCTTATTGCATGAGGTAGAGCAAAGCTGTAACTAGGTCTGGAGTAGTCTTCCCTTAAAGCTATAGCCAGAATATTCCCCTTGCTAAGGTAGCATTTCCTTAGTGGTAAGCCTGCTTCCTGCCTTTTCTCCTTTCCAGTACATACTAGTCCTGCCGTGTCATGAAAGAAAACTAGACTGCTCCTTGATTTTTAGTTGATGGCAATATTATTAAGTAAAATATATACAAAAAAAAAGAAAAGAAATAATCTTGCCATCTTTACATAAAGCTATTTTTCATTTTTGCAATCTCCTTTGTGGTTCTTCTGTCTCTCCCTGTCTCCCCCTCTCTCTCTCTCTCTTTTTCTCCATATATATTTTAAAAATACTGCCATTTTCCTGTATCTCAAGTTTCCTTTACTGAGACACAGATGTTTGCCAACACAGTTATATGTTGGCTTTTAATAATTGTCATTTTAAGTGGATGTAGACTTTTAATGTTCATGTTCTACAATTAACCAAATGCTTATGTTTTCAGGTTTCTTACCGTTAGTATAATATGCATTATAATATGCAACTTTAAATTTTATTTTATTTTATTATGTTACGTTAGTCACCATACAGTACATCATTAGTTTTTGATGCAGTGTTCCGTGATTCATTGTTTTCGTATAACACCCAGTGCTCCATGCAGTACATACCCTCCTTAATACCCATCACCGGGCTAACCCATCCCCCCACTCCCCCTCCCCTCTAAAACCCACAGTCCATGGTCTCTCATGGTTCGTCTCCCCCTCCGATTTCCCCTCCTTCATTTTTCCCTTCCTTCTCCTAATGTCCTCCATGCTATTCCTTATGTTCCACAAATAAGTGAAGCCATATGATAATTGACTTTCTCTGCTTGACTTATTTCACTTAGCATAATCTCCTCCAGTCCCATCCATGTTGATGTAAAAGTTGGGTATTCATCCTTTCTGATGGCTGAGTAATATTCCATTGTATATATGGACCACATCTTCTTTATCCATTCATCTGTGGAAGGACATCTTGGCTCTTTCCACAGTTTGGCTATTGTGGACATTGCTGCTATGAACATTGGGGTGCATATGGCCCTTCTTTTCACTACATCTGTGTCTTTGGGGTAAATACCCAGTAGTACAATTGCTGGGTCATAGGGTAGCTCTATTTTTAATTTTTTAAGAAACCTCCACACTGTTTTCCAAAGTGGCTGTACCAACTTGCATTCCCACCAACAGTGTAAGAGGGATCCCCTTTCTCCACAACCTCTCCAACATTTGTTGTTTCTTACCTTGTCAATTTTTGCCATTCTAACTGGTGTAAGGTGGTATCTCAGTGTGGTTTTGATTTGAATTTCCCTGATGGCTAATGATGATGAACATTTTTTCACGTGTCTGTTAGCCATTTGTATGTCTTCTTTTGAAGTGTCTGTTCATGTCTTTTGCCCATTTTTTGACTAGATTATTTGTTTTTCGGGTGTTGAGTTTGAGAAGTTCTTTATAGATCTTGGAAATCAGCCCTTTGTCTGTAGTGTCATTTGCAAATATCTTCTCCCATTCTGTGGGTTGCCTCTTTGTTTTGTTGACTGTTTCCTTTGCTGTGCAGAAGCTTTTTATCTTGATGAAGTCCCAAAAGTTCATTTTTGCTTTTGCTTCACTAGCCTTTGGAAATGTATCTTGAAAGAAGTTGCTGTGGCCGATGTTGAAGAGGTTACTGCCTATGTTCCTCTCTAGGATTTTGATGGATTCCTGTCTCACATTGAGGTCTTTTGCCCGATTTCAAGCTATATTACAAAGCAGTGATCACCAAGACAGCATGGTACTGGCACAAAAACAGACATATAGACCAATGGAACAGAATAGAGAGCCCAGATATGGACCCTCAACTCTGTGGTCAAATAATCTTTGACAAAGCAGGAAAAAATATGCAATGGAAAAAAGACAATCTCTTCAATAAATGGTGCTGGGAAAATTGGACAGCTATATACAGAAGAATGAAACTTGACCATTCTCTACTAACTTTAGTTTCTATTGATTATCAAGATTGATTTCCTAGGAGAGGGATTATTGGAGCAGAAAGTCTCATTATGTGTACAGCTTTTGCCAAATACTGTTTTCTAGATGGATTTTGCCTACACCATCATGGTTGACCAGTTTTAGCCTATCTTTACCAGTATTGGCTTTTGTTAATTTCTGCTAAGTTAGAAGGTACTGAAAGTTGTCCTGATCTCAAGTTTTGGATCACTAGCGAAGGGTATTGTTTGCGTGTGTGCATCAACCAGTGTGCTATCTCTGGTTATAGTCTTTGTCTATTTAGGAGTTCAGGTTTGACATTTTCTTTATGAATTTGAATGAACTGTAATAAATTGCTTAACATTTCCTAACAATTTCATGCCTTACCAATGAAATGACCATATTTGGGGGAAGAATGAGCAAATGATTTGATGAGGTTTATGTAAGTATGATCAAGATTTTCTACTAGTGATGGGGGTGCTAACTTTTTTTTAAGTAGGCACATGGAGCCCAGTGCAGGGCTTGAACTCATGACCCTGAGGTCAAGACCTGAGCTGAGATCAAGAGTCAGATGCTTAACTGACTGAGCCACTCAGGAGCCCCAGGGGTACTAAATTTTAATTCTCAAGTGGTCAGATATCAAATGATTCTACATTAGACAGTGTGATTCTGCAAGAGACTGATCTGTTGAAGAAGCATCCAATTTCTGTGCCTTGGGTAAGGGAATAGCTGGCCCAATGTTAATCTCTCTGCCTAGTGCAGCACTTATATCTGCATTTGCCCTCACAGCTATCCTGTCACCTTTTGTACTTGCTGCTCCCTGCTCCCTGCTCCCTGCACCGGTGTCATTTCTCTCTTAAGGGATATTGTAGTGGGGTGGGGGTACTGTAGAAAGGAATATCGAAGATTTCCCTTAATTACTCTGAGCCTGCTCATGCATTAAAAAGTCTTTTTCTTCTAAGGTCTGGTTGTTTTGTAACAACTAGAGCACTTTCGAATAACCACTATACCATACTACTAGAACAAAAAGTCCATATTACATTTTTGGTTAAAAAAATAAAAATTGAAAATTGAAGAAATAATCCCTCTGTCTTCCACTCCAGATTCCTCCATGAACACTCCAGCCATGGGAGTGAACACACCTTACCAGCTTGTCTATGAGTCCTCTACTGGCTGTCTGAGCTTTTCTCTTTCAACTGGAAAGGAAGTCAAGAAGAAAACAGGTAATAGAGGATTCCATCAAGACCCATTAGCCCATCTTTGGGGGTGGAACTGGAGAGGAAGATAGAGGATTTCCAGTGTAGGTTGATGAGATGGCTTGTTTTAGTTTTCTTTTTTTTTTTTTTTAAGATTTTATTTATTTATTTATTTGAGAGAGAGAGAATGAGAGATAGAGAGCACGAGAGGGAAGAGGGTCAGAGGGAGAAGCAGACTCCCCGCTGAGCAGGGAGCCCGATGTGGGACTCGATCCCGGGACTCCAGGATCATGACCTGAGCCGAAGGCAGTGGCTTAACCAACTGAGCCACCCAGGCGCCCTTGTTTTAGTTTTCTGATAAGAAGGATTAATGGCCATCTTGACTGTTGGCAGAAGCTATTGACACAGATTCTGTCCCATGAATTTTGACACATCTCAACCCAGTCACTCCACAATGCAGTCTCATCATTTGAATGTTTACATGCCCTCCGCTCCTGGTGATGTGATTCACATCACATCATTTAAACATGTCCCTGATTCACCTGGGAAAACATCCCTATCAAACCCACATCTTCCACCCCCTCAGTATCCCAAACTCATCCCTTCGACTCAGAGAGAGATCTATGTTGCTCCTACTCACACAGCAAGTGAGGCAACCAGTATCTGAATAGAGGCATTTGGATAACAGACCTAATGGAATGTCCCAATTGGGCCAGTTCATGCAGGAAGAAGAGAAAGACATAGAGGGCCCTGCTACTTCCACCAAGGAAGACACACAACAGAAAAAGGCTTAAGAGAAAGAATAGGTGGCAGATGAGACCAAACAGTATAGCACTATGCAACTGTGCAGCCAGAAGCTCAGAGGAGAAAGGAGTTGGGGCTGGAGAGGGCAGGGCAGGGTCTCATGGAACTTCTGGTTATCTCCCCACCTCCCTACCCAACCAGCTGTGATGGCAGATGGAGAAATGGGGTAGGCAAGGGAGGGCTGTATTTGCAAAGAGATGGTGGGAGGATCAACATAAGGTGGGAGTGCTCTAAGACTGTCCACTGGAGGTAAGTCTGGAAGTTGAGAAGTTCGGATATTATTTCTGACCCCACCCCTGGATGGCTGTGTGATTTGCCTTCCTCCAGGCCTCATCTCCATATCAAGCTGATCCAATATCCTTTAAGTTAGTGAACAAATGTTTAGTGAACAATTGCTAGTTGTCATTCACTGTTCTAAATCCTGGGGGTACACATGTGGACTCTAAGACAAAGAATACCTTCCCAAATGGAGCTGACTTCTTCAGCTTCCTTGCTTGGAGTAGATTCAGCGACCCCGTCTGATTTCTCCAGTTCCTTTACCTCTGTTGATGCACTTTCTCTCACTGTGGTTCAATAACCCACAGCATCATTTCTAGCATCCCACTTTATGTGCTCCTGGTTTTATTATATCCACTCCTGAACTGGCCATATTAAACACAATCCCTTTGAAAGAAAACAAAGTATCTTCAAGATACACAGTGATTTCATGATTTTTCTTCCTAATGACCTTGAGGGTAATGCCTTCTGTTGGTCTCTTTGTCTGTCTGTCTGTTTTCCTCTGCTACCCCACCAAGATGTGATTTTTCATCATGATGTTGCATTGTTCTCACTAGATGTGTGTTCATGGTGTTGCATTTCTTATAGGTTCTTGATGTGTTTAGAAATTCATCTCACACATGTATGCTAGAATGGATGGTTAACTTTTCCTAATAGTTTATAAGTAACTATGTGACCTATCTTGCCCAGGAATGTCCCAATTTATGTTTATTTTCCTGACATAACAATTAATGATGCCCATTTCTCTAAAACCTTTGCCAGTTTGGACATACTGTAGAGTTATTCTGGTTTCAACCACTTTGAATTTTGGACCTCTGCTATCTGTTCATGCACATGTGCTATGACACCTTACCAACTGCCCCCTTTGCAGTTCTAGGGCCAGGCAGACTTGGAGCAGACAGGCTTCAGGAGTTGAGCCTACTCCCTGAGGGGTCAGCTGTTTCTGGAAAGTAGCCCAACATTATACAAGGAGAACTGAGAGAAGTCTGTCAACAATGGTTCCTGGTTGGAGCAAGAGGCTGTCATCCTCAAGGACTCAAGGCACCTAGGGCCAAGCCAGACATGAATAGTCAGACTAGAAGATGTTCCAGGATGTCAGCCAGCAGCTCTCTGGGTCTCAGGGCCAAGTCTCTGGTCTTTGGTGGCAGGAGGAGTGGGGTAAGAGACCAGAAACCACTCATAGTGGCAGATACCAGAGATGGTATCCAAGGACCAGCCAGAAACCCTGAGGCTTGCTGACAGTGAGGAAGACTTCATTCTGTGGTGCTCAGGGCTCAGCTGGAGCCTGAGTAGTGGCTTTGGCTTGGAACCAGTTTTCATTCATGAAGTTGAGCCTGCATATATGAAGGGAGAGCACGTGGCTCCATTTGGGTGGGCAGCAGAGGCTCAGAAACGTGGACCTCGATAGATGCCTCTGGAATTTCAGTCATGAAGGACCACCTCCACAATTTCATGTTACCATATCCTTATACCAACAAATACTTGCCATAAGGGGATAACTGAAAATAAGTGCAATAGGCACAAAACATTGCCACCCACAGATTTGAGCAGGCAGAAGAAAGAATAAGCAAAATTTAAGGTAGAACAATTGAAATTATTGACTCTGAAGAACAGAAAGAAAAGATTCTTAAAAAATGAATGGAGCCTAAGGGACCTGTGGGACACCATCAAGGAGAATACATGTGCACTGTGGGAGTCAGAAGAAGAGAGAAAGGGACAACGAGAATATTTGAAGAAATGTTGGCTGAAAACTTCCCAAACTTGTTGAAAGATGTGAGTATAAACATCAGAGAAGCTTGGCAGACTTCAGATAACATGAACTCAAAGAGACCCACACCAAGACACATTATATGACAGAGAACCTGGAAAGCAGCAAGAGAAAACCAGATCATTACATCCAGGAATTCTCAATAACATCATCAGCAGATATCTCATCAGAAACTTTGGAGGCCACAAGACACTGTGCCTGAGTGTTAAAAAGAAAAAAAAAAAAAAAGACCTGTCAATCAAGAATCCTGTGTTTAACAAAACTGTCCTTCAAAAGTGAGGGAGCTATTAAAACTTTCCCAGATTGACAAAACCCAAGGGAGTTCATGAACACTAGACCTACCCTTCAAGAAATGCTCCAGGGAGTCCTGCAAGGTGAAATGAAAGGACTCTAGACAGTACCTTGAAGCTGTATGGAGAAATAAAGTTCTCAATAAAAGCAAAGATATGGGCAATTATAAAAGCTAGTATTATTGTAACTGGTTTGTAACTGCACTTTTTGTTTCTTACATGACAGACTAATACATTTAAAGAAAAAATTGTTAGTATAAAAGCTAGTATTACTGTAACTTTGGTTGGTAAGTACAAATCTTATTTTCCATGTAATTTAAAAGATTAATACATTTAAGAGAATTGTTATTTTATGTTTTGGTGCACATAATATATAAAGATGTATTCTTGTGACAGCTGAAAGGGTTGGAGATGAAGCTATAAAAGAGGAGAGTTTTTGTGTGTTACTGAAGTTAAGCTGGTAAAAATTCAAATTAGAGTGTTAGAACTTTAGGATGTTAAATGTAATCCCCATTGTATCCCCAAGGTAACAACAAAGAAAATAGCTATAGAATATATAAAAAAGCAAATGAGAAAGGAATTTAAACCTTTTATGACAATCAATATAAAGAAAACAATATTTAATTATATGAGGGACAAAAGCCATAAGGCATATAGTAAACAAAAAGTACAATGACAGAAGTCCCTCATCAGTAATTACTTTAAATGTGAATGGATTAAAATCTCCAATCAAAAGATAGAGATTGGCAGAATGAATAAGAACACATGATCCAACAATATGCTGTCTATAAGAGATTCACTTGAGTTCCAAAGACTCAAACAGGTTGAAGGTGAAAGGATGGGAAAAAATCTGAAACTAATGATGTTCTATATATTGGTTAATTGAATTAAAATTTTTTAAAAAGAAAGGATGGAAAAAGATATTCTATGCAAAGAGTAAACAAAGAGAGTAGGGGTAGCAATACTAGTATCAGACAAAATAGACTTTAAATCAAAAAAGGTTACAGGAAGAAAAGCACACTGTGTATTAATAAAAGTTTCAGTACAACAAGGAGATAATATAAACGTTTAGCACCTAATGACAGACCATAAGGATATCTGAAGCAAAAAATGTATATCTGAAGCAAAAACTGACAGATTAAAGACAGACAGTTTTACAATAATGTTTGGAAATTTCAATAATACCCTACTCACAGTAATGGCAAAACAACCAGGCAGGAGATTAGTAAGGAAATAGAGGATTTAAATAACACGATAAACCAATTAGAAAACAACAAAAACAATACACATTCTTCTCAGGTGCACATGGGACATTTTTCAGGATAGGCCATATGTTAGGCCACAGATTGTCTCAACCAATTAAAAAAGATAGATATCATACAAAGTATCTTTTCTGACCACAATGGGATGAAGTTAGAAGGCAATAACAGAAGGAAAATTAGAAAAAAAATCACAAAATTGTGGGAAGTAAATAACACATTCTTTTTTTATTTATTTTGAGAGACAGAGAAAGAGAGCAGGGAGAGAGGGAGTGGGAGAGAGAATTTTAACCAGACTTGCGCTGAGTGTAGAGCCTGACAAGGGGCTCAATCTCATGGCCCTGAGATCATGACCTGAGTGAAAATGGAGAGTCAGATGCTTAACTGACTGAGTCACCCAGGTGTCCTGTAAATAACATTCTTAAACAACCAACACGTTAAAGAAGAAATCACAAGAGAAATTAGAAATTAGAGATGAATGAAAATGAGAACATCATATACCAAAACTTACAGGATGCAGCAGAAGTAGTACTAAGGAGGAGGGGAATTTATAGTCACAAATGATTACATTAAAAGATAAGGATATCACATCAAAAAACCTAAATTTACAACTTAAGGAACTAGAAAAAGAAGAAGAAATTAAAACCAAAGCTAGAAAAGGAAAGAATAAAGATTAGAACAGAGAGAAATGAGAGAATTAAAAAATAACTGAAATTAAAAATTGATTCTTTGAAAAGATCAACACAATTGATAAACTTTTATCTAGATCAACTAAGAAAAAAAGAGATAAGACTCAGATTACTAAAATGAATTGAAAGTGGGTACTCTACCACTGATTCTACAAAAATAAAAAAGATTATGATAGAGTACAATGAACAATTGTACACCAACAAATTGCATAACTTGCATGAAATAGACAGATTCCTAGGAACACAAAACCTACCCAAACTAAATCAGAAAGAAGTAGAAAATTTTGATAGACCTATAGATACTAAGGAGATTAAATCAGTAATCAAAAATCTCCCAACAAAGGGGCACCTGGGTGGCTCAGTCAGTTGAGTATCCGACTCTTGGTTTCAGCTTGGGTCATGATCTCAGGATCCTGCTGTTGAGCCCTGCATTGGGCTCCCTGCTTGGCCAGGAGTCTGCTTGTCTCCCTCTCTCTCTGCTGCTCCCCTCATTCACAACTCTCTCTCTCTAAAATAAATAAATAAATCTTAAAAAAAAAATCTCCCAACAAAGAGAAGCCCTAGATTTGATGGCTTCAGTGGTGAATTCTACCAAACATTTAAAGAACTGATTACAATCATACTCAAACTTTTCCAAAAAAAAGAAGAGGGAACACTTCCCAACTCATTCTGTAAGGCCAGCACCAGACAAAGGCATTACAACAAAAGAAAACCACAGACAATATCCTGCATGAACATTGATGCAAAAATCTTCAACAAAACACTAACAACAGAATTCAACAGCACATTAGGGATTATACACCATGACACCAAGCAGGATTTATTCTTGAAATGCAAGCGTGGTTCAACACACAAAACTCAATCACAGAATGAACGGGAAAACCACATGATCATGTCAACTGATGCAGAAAAAGCAGCTGACAATTCAACACCCTTTCATGATAAAAACACTCAGTGAAGTAGGAATAGAAGTAAACTACCTTCACATGGTAAAAGTCATATATGAAAAACATAAAGCAAAAATCATACTCAATAGTGGAAGACTGAAAGCTTTTCTTACAAGATTAGGAACAAGGCAAAGATGCCCACTTTCACCCCTTCTATTCAATAGAGAACTGGAAGTCCTAGCCAAAGCAAGATTGACAAGAAAAGGAATAAAAGACATTCAAATTGGAAAGGAAGAATTAAATTTATCTGTTTGCAGATAATATGATCTTGTATACAGAAAACCATACAGATTCCATAAAAAAAAAACACCTGTTGGAATAAATGAATTCATCAAAGTAGCAGGATACAACAACACACAAATCAGTTCATTTCCATATGCAAACAATGAATGCTCTGAAAAGGAAATTGCAAAAACAATTCCATTTACAATAGCAGAAAAAAGAGCAAAATATTTAGGAATTAACTTAACCAAGGAAATGTAAGACTTGCACAATAAAAACTACAAAGCATTGCTGGAAGTAATTAAAGAAGAAACAAATAAATGGAAACATATCCTATGTTCATGAACTGAAAGAGTTAAAATTGTTAAAATGTTAATACTATCCAGAGTGGTCTACAGATTCAAAGCAATCCCTATCAAAATTCCAATGAAGTTTTTTGCAGAAATAGAAAAATTCATCTTAAAATTCATATGGAATCTCAAGGGACCCCTGAAGAACCAAAACAATCTTGAAAAAGAAGAACAAAATTGGAGGACTCACATTTCCTGATTTCATAACTTACTACAAAGATACAGTAATCAAAACAGTATTATATTGGCATAAAGACAGACATATAGACCAACAGAATAGAAGAGAGGCCCCAGGAATAAATCTTTGTATATATGGTCAAGTGACTTTTGACAAGGATGCCAAGACCATTCAATGGGGCATTCACTCTTTTCAATGAATAGCACTGGGAAAACTGGATTTCCACATGCAAATGAATGAAGTTGGATACTTACCTAATACCATATATAAAAATTCACTCAAAATGGATAAAGGAACTAAGTACAAGACCTACAACAATAAAATCCTTAGAAGAAAACATAGGCAAAACTTCATGACACTGGATTTGGCAATGATTTCTTGGTATGGTACAGCAACAAGAAAATAGACAAATTGGACTTTGTGAAAAATGTTAAATTTTGTACATCAAAAGACACTATCCATAGAGTAAAAAGGTAGAATGGGAGAAAATATTTGCAAATCATATATCTGATAATTATAATTCAGACTATATAGAGAACTTCTAAAAACTCAACAACAGAAAAGACAAACAACCTGATCAAAAATGGGCATAGGACTTGAATGGACTTTTTTCCAAGGGAGATATACAGACGATCAACAAGCATATGAAAAATGTTCAGTATCACTCATCATTAGGGAAATGCAAATCAAAAACTACAGTGAGATACTCCCTCATCCCCAGTAGGATGTCTACTATATAAAAACAACACCAACAACAAACAACAAACAAAACACCAGAAAACAAGAGTTGGAAAGGATATGGAGATACTGGAACCCTTGTGCACTGTGGTGGGAATGCAAAATGGTGTCACTGTTATGGAAAACTGTATGGCATTTCCTCAAAAAATTAAAAATGGAATTTCCATATAATCCAGTAATTCCACTTTTGGGTATATATTCAAAAGAATTGAAAGCAGGGTCTCAATGAGGTAAGTGCATACCCATGTTCATAGCAGCATACTCAATAGCTAAACCATGGAAGCAACCCAAGTGTCGATCAGTGGATGAATGGGTAAAGAAAATGTGATCTATCCACACAATGGAATATTGCTCAGCCTTAAATTCTGACACATGCTATAATATGGAGGAATCTTGAGGACATTATGCTAAATGAAACAAGCCAGTCACAAAAAGAGAAATACTAAATGCCTCTACTTAGATGAGGTACTTAGAGTAGTCAGACTCAGAGAGACAGGAAGTAGAGTGGTGGTTGCCAGAGGCTGGGGGCAGTGGAGACTGGGAAGTTATTGTTTAATGGGTAAGAATTTTAACTTTACAAGATGAAAAAGAGTTTATAGAGATAGATGGTGGTGATGGTTGCACAACAATGTGAATGTATTTAATACCATGGAACCGTCCACAGTAAAAATGGTAAGGCTGATAAATTTTTGTGATGTGTATTTTACCACAATATGTAAAAGAAAAATTTTCAATCCAAGTCTCAGTCAATATACACTACCCTCCACAGAAGGCCTGAGATTAGCCAACATCAGAGAAGTGTTACAGTTGACTGAGTTGGAACTGAGACATTCTGTTTTTTTTTTTTTTTTTTTGAGGGGGGGTGGGGGATGGGCAGAGGGAAAGAAGCGGACTCCCCACTGAGTGCGGAGTCTGATGCAGGGCTCCACATGGGGCTCGATCCCACAACCCTGAGATCATGACCTCAGCCAAAATCAAGAATCGGATGCTTGACCGACTGCGCCACCCAGGAGCTCTGAGAGAGAGAGAAGCTCAAGCAGGCTCTACACACAGCATGGAGCTTGATGTGGGGCTCAATCTTACAACCCTGAGATCATGACCTGAGCCAAAATCAAGAGTCAGACACAACCGACTGAGCCACCCAGGTGGCCCTGAGACTTTATCTTTAATCAGAAGGGTCAGAAGGGAATCCCTTCAGCATCTATGACAGTCACATGCATGGGCCATCCTGGGGAAACACGGCTGGGTTCATCACTGCACACGTCTGTTCCTTATCCATACTTAGTTGACTTGCAGAGCATCGTCTCTGTGTTACAAGTGACCTGCCAGGGACTCCTGTCCCTGGGAACCATGAATGATGCCCCCAATTATTTTGACCATCAGAAGATGCTGCTCTCCTGCTCTCCCTGCCACCTCATCTCTACATGAGCATGATATCTTAAGAAACCATTCTCTAAAACCCCTCCCTAACCTCTTCCTCTCGAACCACAGGCAAATCAAAAAACGTAGAAGACATAACCATGCCGTCCTTCCAACGAGGAGCTGGAATCTCTGCCTCCAACAGTATAGAGTTCAGTGACCCCTGCCCTGAGGCCCGGGAGAAGCTGCAGGAGATGTGTCGCCATATGTGAGTGCCTCAGTGGTTGAGGGCAGATGCAAGAGTTGGGTATGGCCACCAGCTACCTGTGTGTGCATGAAGGGGAATTCACAGAAGTGTCTGAGCGGTGCCAGGAAGTGCTGGCTACCCAGTGCCCCTAACGACAGTGACAGGGTTCATTGCCATCCCTCACACGTGCTCCCATCCCCAGTCTCTCCCCACTCACAGTCCTTTTCAGTCCTTACTACAACCTGATGAGGAAGAGGGGGTAGGCCCATTTTGCGGATGAGGAAACTGAGGCAGCCCAAGCAGATGGGTAAGCCATTGCCAAAGGTCCCACAGTTTGGTGGACCTGACACCAGGGCACTGATCTTTGCCTCCTCACCCTTTGCAGGGCTCCCTACACTTTTAAGGCTTTGTGCTCTGAATATTTATTTCTTAACATAATTTGTCAGATGTCTTCCTATAACAATAGCAGCAGCAAAAATCCTTTCAGAGCAAAAACAAAACGAAACAAACCGTTGACATGGGTGATTAATGATATCTATGATTCTGGGTCCCACGAGTCCTAGTAAGTTAGTCTGTATTTCTCCAAAGACTCAGACCATGGGCCATAAAGGATTTAAAACCTAGCCCCATTTAAGGCATAAGTCTTGGGCTCCCCTGAGCCATTAATACAGCTACAGAACACGGGAGGAGGGAAGCTGCCCAGCTTGCCCCTTACTGTGATATTCCGGAAGGAAGTTCTTTCCTTGTAACCTCAGGAGTGGGGAGTGAGCAGAGCCTCCAGCTCCCCCCCCATGTCCCTCTTCTGTACTCAGCCCCACTCCATGGGTCCTCACCCCATTGCTGAAGGTGGAAGTCAGGAAAGGACTAGTTTCAGAGGGGTACTGGGACCTTCCCAGTTCTTCCTAAAATTCCTGCCTTTAAGGACAAGGGGGAATGGGGTGGGCAGAGGTACTCTGGGGACGGGGAAATGGGAGGGGAGTCTTGGGAACTGGGCCGGGGCTCTAGAGAGAGTGTCCCTGGTGACTAAGAGCCAAGTGACTAGAAGATATGTTGGTCTCCTTCCCTGCAGAGAAACCGAAAGGGCCTTGTGGAAAGGGAGGAATTTCTCCTGCCCCCTGATCTTTCGCAACTACAGGGCAAAGGTGCCTTCTCATCTAATGTCAGCCCCGAAAGGGGACGCTCAGAGCCCAAGCTCCCACCATCCTAACCCTCCAGGTGCTCAGACTACCACTTCCACCGTTCACCAGCCCCCCGCCCACCACCATCCTCACTTCGTCCGGCATTCTCAGGAGTGGAAGGTATCCAAGAAGATCATCAAGTTCCATTACGCCTTCTATGATGGGTCCTCCTTTGTGTAGTATCCTTTTATTTACTGCTGCCCCTTCTCCCCAGCCACTCAGCCCCAGAAAATTCCTGGGCTTAAATAAGCCTAAGTACTTTGGCTTTTCCACTGACCAGAGAAGCCTGGTGACAGGTTCTCCAGGATATTAGGCATTTGTCCAGGTCAAAGAGGGCTCCCTTTGGAGAAGGTCTGGGTGGGAAGCAATGCATCAGGAAGTCACCTTGGACCCCTGTGTTCCTTGCAGGGGTTCTGTCACCCACTCCCCAACAGGCAGCAGAGCTGGACCAGATGCCCAGCCCATTTGGCAGCAAGGCTCTGAGGCCAGGGAGGGCGAAGCAGTTATTCCAGGTTCTGCAGTCTGAGTCAGATAAGACATCAAAGAGAGGAGCCACTAAGCCAGACATCCCTGTCCCTTCCTTGTAGTAATGGATGGTGTCACTCACTTCAGTGTCACAAAAGGAATTTGGTGGCAGAGCCAGGCCTGGATTCAGGGCTGCTTCACCTCTATTTAGGGCCCTCCTCCTGGCACAATTGTTATGCCTTCCAGGATTGTTTCCTGCGGCAGAGAGCGGGAGAGGGGGGATGGAAGGGGGGGGGGCCTTGTTTAATAATAAAACCACTGGGTATTCAGTGTCCCACACGTTTGGAGGAGAGGGAGCTCTCTGAACTGTCAAACAGGCTGCCCAGCAGTAGCCCCCCCAGCCCCACTTCATTTGGCCTCCTCTCCAACTGAACTGGGAATTCAGAATTTAAGCGCCTTGTCAAAGGAGTCCTATTGTTTCTCTGACCGTAAATGAATCCATTCATCACACTCCACTCGGCCCTGCTTCCAGGGAGCCCTGTGATATTGAGCACAGCAAACTCCTTCGAGGGTAACTGCTGCTTGCTGGGGATCATGGGCTCTCCCTTACCCCTTTTCTGATTCTTCACTGCCTTGAGTAGGATCATCTCCCTGAGCTCGAGAAGTTGTGTCTGTGAATTTTGTTGCTATCAGGAGGACCAGAGTGGGTGGGCTAGAACACAGCTTTCATTCTCTCCCCTGTCCCAGAATCCCGAGGTCCCCCTGGGTGGGACAACCCCAAACCTGCAGGCCCTGCTACTGGCATGCTTGACTCATACGCAGTGACCACATCCTGGCCATCAAAACATTTCCTCTTTGCGAGTTCCAGGAGGCTGGGTTCTAGGCCCAGTTCTTCTTGGTGACCCTGCACAGGTCACTTCATCTTTCTCGGCCTTACCTGCTTCATTTTAAGCGGAAGAAGTTGGACCCAGTGATGTTGAAGGAGAAATTCTGTGTTACTGTGTTCCAGTGGCCAAAGCTCATGTATAGCTGTTGGATCCCTTGTAAGCAGAGAAAAATGTTTGGAAGACATTTTCTAGGCTGAGCAGTTACTTCTGGTTTCATGAAGATGGCTGGGCAAAGCTCTCAGGTAGAAATGGCCTATCTGCCCCTGAAGTGCCAGAAAGCTGCCAGCCCTGATTGGGTTGCTCTTTGTCTGCACCAGACTCCAGAACCATCCCAGTATTCATTTCATTTGTGTTTCATTCCCTTCATTGTCAGCATCTCCTGGATGTCTTCCCACAACTGCTGATTATCCCATCAAACTTCCCTCAAAGCCTTTTTTCCTATGCACAGACTCATCACATTAAAAACAAACCTAATCACTGTGCTCAGCACTGTTCCTTTAGGAATTGGTGGAGCACTCAGAAATACTCTGCGAGGTACACATTTTTTTTTAGTATGGAAAAATGTACATCACATAAAATTTCTCATTTTAACCATTTTAAAGTGTATAATTGAACAGCATTCACAATGCTGTGCAGCCATCTCCACAATCTAGTTCTGGGACTTTTTCATCACTTTTTCATCACCCTGAAAGCAAACCCCATGTCTGTTAAGCAGACGCTCCCCATCTCCCCCTTCCCCCACAGTTCCCAGCAACCACTAACCTGCTTTTTGCCTCTTTGCATTTGCCTGTTCCAGATAGTTCATATAAATGGGATCATGCAGCGTGTGGCCTTTTGTATCTGCCTTCTTTCACTCACCATTATGTTTTCAAGGTTCATCCACATTGTAATATACATCAGTGCCTCCTTTTTTTTATTGGGGTGAAATTCACATAATAGAAATTAAATCCTTTTAATATATACAATGTAGTGGCAGTTAGTGCATTTACAGTGATGCTTCCATCACTTGTCTCAAGTTCCACAAACTTTTCATCACCCCAAAAGAAAACCCTATGCCCATTCAGCAGTCACTTTCTGTTTCCCCTACCCTAGCCCTGGCAACCACCATTCTGATTTTTGTCTCTTTTGATTTGCCTCTTCTGGACATCTTTTTTTTTTTTAAGATTATTTATTTATTTATTTGACAAAGAGAGACACAGTGAGAGAGGGAACGCACTCAGGGGAGTGGGAGAGGGCGAAGCAGGCTTCCTGCTGAGCAGGGAGCCTGATGCGGGGCTCGATCCCAGGACCCTGGGATCATGACCTGAGCCGAAGGCAGACGCTTAAGACTGAGCCACCCAGGCACCCCCTCTTCTGGACATCTTATAAATCCTACAATATGTGGCCTTTTGTGTCTGTCTTCTTTCACTGAGCATAATGTTTTCAAGGGTTATACATATTACAGCACATCTCAGAATTTCCTTTTTGTGGCTGAATAATATTCTATTTTATGGATGTTCCACTTTTTTCTAATCCATTCATTTGTTTATGGACATTAGGTTTTTCCCACCATTTGGCTATTGTGAATAATGCTGCTATGAACATTCTTATAGAAGTTTTTTTTGCACACCTGTTTTCAGTTCTTTTGGGTCTATACGTAGGAGTGGAATTACTGGGTCATATGGTAATTCTATGTTTAACTTATTGAGGGTCCTCCAAAATGTTTTCCCCAGTGGCTCTACCATTTTATATTCCCACCCACAATGTGTGAGAGTTCCAGATTCTCCACATTCTTGACTACACTTGATATTTTCCAATTTTTAAATTCCAGCCATTCTAGTGGATGTAAAGTAATATCTCATTGTGGTTTTGAATGGTTTTCCTAATAACTAATGATTTCAAGCATCTTCATATGCTTTCCTGGTATATCTTCTTTGTAGAAATGTGTATTCAAGTCCTTTGCCCATTTATTTGATTGTCCATTACTTAATGAGTTGCAAGAATTGTTTATATATTATAGATACTAGATCTTTATCAGATAAATTATTTGCAAATTTTTTTCTATCCTGTGGGGTATTTTTTCATTCTCTTGATAGTATCCTTTGATGTATAGAAGTTTTTAATTTTTATGGAGTCCAATTTTTCTTTTTTTCTGTTCCTTGTGCTTTGGGTTTCTTATCTAAAAAACCATTCTTATGCCTATATTGTCTTCTAAGAGGTTTATAGTTATAGATCTTACATTTAGGTCTTTGATCCATTTTCAGTTGATTTTTGCATATGGTGTGAGATCAGGATCCAACTCCATACTTCCTCATGTGATACCCAGTTGTCCCACCTCTGTTTCTTGAGGCTATTCTTTCACCTTTGAATGGTCTTGGCACCGTTTTGAAGATCAGTTAATCATTGATATATGAGTTTATTTTTAGATCCTCAATTCTATTCCATTCATCTGTATGTCAGTGCCATAGTGTTTTGATTATTGTAGCTTTGTAGTGAAGTGTTGAAATTAGGAAGTTTGACTCTTTCAACTGTGTCCTTTTTTCAAGATTATTTTCGTTATTTGGGGTCCTGTGCAAGTCTGTATTATTTTTAAAATCAAATTTTCTGTTTTTGCAAAAAAGACTGATGAAATTTTGATATGGATTGCATTGAATTTGTAGGTCACTGTGGGGCATTTTGCCATGAACAAGATTAAGTCTTCCAATCCACGAATACTAGCAACAAATGATCTGAAATGTTGTATGAACAGCAGTAACAATAAAAAAGCAATGAACAAAAGGAAATTATGTCATTTACAATAGCATCAAAAAGAATAAAATACTTTGGAATAAATTTAACCAAGGAGGTGTCAGGCTGGTACACCGAAAACTACAAAATGCTGTTGAGATAAATTAAAGGATATTGAGATAAATGGAAAGACATCCCATGTTCATGAGGGGCAACTGATTTCTGTGTGTTGATCTTGTATCCTGCAACTTCCCTTTGCATGTTTCTAGGTATTTTTTTTTCAACTAGACTATCTCACTTGTAGATATACAATTGTTCATATACATCTCTTATGATATATATATATATTTTTAATTTCTGTGAAGTCAGTAGTAAAGTCTCCACTTTCTGATTTTAGGAATTTGAATTTTCCTTGTTTTCTGAGTCAGTCTAGCTAAAGGTTTCTCAATTTTTTGTTGCTGTTTTCAAATAAACTACTTTTGGTTTTGTTGGTTCTTTCTAGTGTTTTTCTGTTCTCTATTCTATTTCTCTCTCTTATAATCTTTATTATTCCCTCTCTTCTGCTAGCTTTAACTTTAGTTTTTGCTCTTCTTTTTCTAGTTCCTTAAGGTGGAAATTATGGTTATCGATTTGAGATCTTTCTTCTCTTTTAATGTTTTTATTTATAGCTATAAATTTCTTCCTGAGCTGCTTTCACATTTTCCCATGACTTTGTTGTTGGCCTATTACTCATTTATTAGAAATTGTAAATGAGAAATTATTTCAACACCTGAAGACCAAACCACAACAGAAGATTATTCCATAGGTTCAAGATTTTGAGACATTTTATGAAAAGAGTTTTCTATAAAGTATATCCTTTCCATGGCATGGCAACATCATTCTTCTTTTAAAAAGTTACTGGACAGACATCATTTCCACCATCACCTATATAAACAATTTGTGTATAATTTACAAGTTGTAACTATTGTAACTGAATCTACAAATTCTACCAAAACTACATTTTTGCAAAGATTCTCTGGGTACCTATTGCAAGAATGAGCATGATAATTTTTCACAGTGAGATGATCACTGCTATCAAAAGCTGCTGGATTTGTAAACACTTTATCAAACATATCATGAAAACTGGTAGCTCCTAAACCCAATCTATGGAGACTGAATTTGAATCTGAAATATTGATGCAGTCAAATTTATCCTTCTTCTTTCTTGTTCTATCCTTGATCCACCATCCTTAGAGATAAAGGTATTGATGTCACTGCTCTTTTCACTTCATCTTCTCTTACACCTGCATCTTCCAAATACTTAAAGATTCTGCCCATAAATTCTGCCCAAATTCCCTTTTCATAAGAATTTTGTAGAAGCTTTTCCTCTGGAGTGCATTGTACAATCCAGATGTCACTATTGTCATCTATGATTGTATTGTCAAAGTCAAAAATGAGCAAAGTTTTCGTGGTTCCAAAAGCAAATTTGGGTTACTAATATTTGTGTTTCTGTGGGGATCATTTTTGAGCACTCAGAATGAAACTGACTTGGTATTCCCAAGACAATTAATTTTACTTCAGAATAGAGCTTATGTTGAACAAGTCATGACAATCTTCAGTTTTAAACACCAGCCAGTTTCTAACCAACATTACTCCTACTCTGTATGCAGGGAACAAAGTCTTCTGGTTTGGAGCAAAGAAATGGAGACTTCCTAACTTCAGCATTATTACAGTAGAACACCTGATAGAAAACCTGCCAGGTCTGTCCTGAATGTAGGTGCAAGCACCAGACTGGGCCAGATCCCCAGGGCTTCTCACCGACCCAGGCCAGATGTCAGCAGCCATCCTGGCCTCCGTGGCTTCTCCCTTGGACTCTGCACTCTGACCTCATTCCCGTGCCTTATCCCATAAGTTTTGATATATTGTATTTTTGTTTTCACACCTTCAACTATTTCCCTTGTGATTGCTTCTCTATCCATTGGTTGTTTAAAGGTGTATTGTTTAATTTCCACCTATCTGAGAATTTTCCAAATTTCCTTCTGCCATTGATTTCTAGTTTCATTCTGTTGTCAGAGAAGGTGCTTTCTAACATCCCAATCTTTTAAAATTTATTGAGACTTGTTTTGTGGCCTAACATATTGTCTCTACCAGAGAATGGTCCTGTGGACTCAAAAAGAATGTGTACTCTGCTATTGTTGGGTGGAGTGTTCTGTTAGGTCTAGTTGGGTTATAGTGTTGTTCAAATTCTCTATTTTCTTTATTGATCTTCTGTGTAGTTGTTCTACCCATGATTAAAAGTAAGGTAGTGAAATCTCCCAACTTCTATTGTAGAACTGTTTCCTTTTTTAATCCTATAAATTTTTGCTTCATATGTTTTGGGGCTCTGTTGTTAGGTGTGTATATGTCTATAATTGTTGTATCTTCTTGAGGTATTGACCATTTTCTCAATATATAATGTTCTTCTTTGTCTCTTGTAAAAATTTTTAAAGTCTGTTGTTTCTGATGTCAGTATAACCACATTTACTGTCTTTTTGCATGGAATTTACGTGGAATATTTGCATGGAATATCTTTTTACATCATCTGACTTTCAACCTAGTTGTGTCTTTGGATCTAAAGTAAGCTTCTTTGTAGACAGCATATAGTTGGATCTTTAAAAAAAAAAAAAAATCCATTCTGTCAATCTCTGCCTTTTTTGTTGGAGAATTTAATCCATTTTTATTTAATGTAACTGCTGATATGGAAGGGCTTGATTCTGTCATTTTACTATTCATTTTCTATATGTCATATCTTTTTTTGTTCTTGAGTTCCTATGTTATTACCTTCTTTTGTGTTGAACTGATTTTTTTTTTGTAGTATGCCATTTTTATTCCTTCTCATTTTCTTTATTCTATATTTTTTAGTTATTTTTTAGTGGTTACCCTGGTATAATGGGTTGAATAGTGTCTCCTCAAAATTTATATTCACCAGAACCTCAAAATGTGTTCATATTTGGAAGTAGGGTCTTGGCAAATATAATTAATTAAGATTAAGTCATATTGGCTTAGGGTGGAGACCAATCCAATGACGAGAAACCAGAAACACACAAAGAGGGAAGAAGGTCATGTGATGACTGAGGCAGAGATTAGAATGGTGCATCCATAAACCAAGTAATACCAAAGATTCCTAGCAACCACCAGAAACTAGGGAGAGGCAAGGAAGGATTCTTCTCTAGAACCCCCACAAGCTGGGCCCTGTCAACGCCTTGATTTTGGATTTCTAACCTCGAGAACTGTGAGAGAATAAATGTCTGTTGTTCAGGTTATCAAGTCTGTGGTCTGGATATCATGGAAATCCCAAGAAACTAATACATTTGAGTATTACAATTGACAACAAACAAATTTGAACTAATACCAACTTAGACTTAATAGTACACAAAACTCTGCTGCTAAACAGCTCACCCTTCCTCCTATATGTTGTTATCAGTAATTACATCTTTATATATGCATTGTGTGCCATTAACATAGATTTGCAATTAGTGTTTTGTGCCTTTGTCTTTCAACTTAGGTGGGAAAAGAATAGAAATTATAAACCAAAAATACAATAATACTGGTTTTATATTTACTTATATAGTTACCTTTACTGGTATTTTTTTTCCTTGTATTGCTTTGAGTTACTATCTAGTATCCTTTCACATCAGCCTGAAGTACTTATAGCATTTCTTGTAGGGCAGGTCAACTAGTGGTGAACCCCCTCAACTTTTATTTATCTAGAAAGTCTTAATTTCTTCTTTATTTTTTGTAGGATAGTTTTACTCAATATAGAATTCTTAGTTGATAGCTTTTTTTTTTCTTGGCTCTTTAAATATTTCATCCCAGTGCCTTCTGGCCTCCATGGTTTCTGATAAGAAATTGTCCTTATCCTTATTAAGGATCCCATGTACATGATGAGTCTCTTTTCTCTTGCTGCTTTCAAGATTCTCTCTTTGTCTTTGTCTTTTGGCAGTTTGATAATAATATGTGTCAGTGTGGCTCTCTTTGCATTTATTCTCCTTGGAGTTTATTAAGCTTCTTGAGTGTGTACAGTCATGTCTCTCATCAAATTTGCGGCACTTTTAGTCATTATTTCTTCAAATATTCTTTCTTCCCCTCTTCTCTCTCTCCTGTCCTTCTGAGACTCCTGTTATGGATATGTTTGTATGTTTGATGGCCTGCCATAGGTCTCTTAGGCTCCATTAATTTTTCTTCATTCTTTTTTCTTTCAGGCTAGATAACTCTAATTGATTCATCTTTGAGGTCACTGACTCTTCTGCTCCAATCTGCTGCTAAACCCATCTAATGATTTTTTCATTCCAATTATTGTACTATTCAGCTCTAGAATTTCTATTTGTTACTATTTATGATTCCTATCTGTTTATTTCTTTTTCCCCCATTGGTGGGAAAGCATTTGAAAGCAGTTGAGCCCCAGTGCCAACCACTGAAACTCTTCTGTCTGGGGTACTACTGAAATTCCTGCAGTAGCTGCCCACACCATGTTCCTTTAAGCTGGGACCAGTGCTTCTTGGGATCACCTAGTAAGAAATGAACAGGGAGACGTTGCCTGCTCTCCTAGACTGATCATAAAGGGAGGCAGCCTGACAGCATTAGAAATATACTTCACAGTTCAGGCCCTGGTTCTGCCACTTCCTTGTGTTGTCATGTAGGATGATCATTTCTCTGCACCTTGGATTCCTCATCTGTAGGATGGCCAACTTGTCCCGGTTTGCCTGAGATTTTTCTGGCTTTAGCACTAAAAGTCCCATATCCCAGGAAATCCTACTCATCTGTGAGATGGAGATAATGCTCCCTACCACAGGGTGGTTGTGAGGAATAGAAAGAAGATACAGGAAGGCACACAGGGCATGGTTGTGTTCTATAATTATTGTTAGTTATGCAAAGTGCAGGGAGGGTCTTTGAAGACTGGAAATGATGCACCAAATAGCTATCATTTTGACATGATACTTTCCATGGAGCACCTGAAAGCAGAACCTGGAGAGTTTTCTGTTAGTTCTCCTTGACCATTTCTGCCAGCTATCCCTCTGGGAACATCGCCATGTGTCAGATCCCCACGTGCTGCAGAGGGAGAGCCATCACCTGCCTCTTTAATGACACACCCAGCTTCTTTCTGGCTCTGTTCAATGCTGATGGACAGGGCTGTGTTCACTACAACGTGAAGGCCTGGTGAGTGGTTTGGGGAAATCCTGGCCCCATGGAAGTGTTTCTGGTGGTGACAAAGGGAGACAATGAGGTGGTAATCCATGGGAAAAGGAAGAGCCATCAGTGTCCAGAGGTCTGGGAAGGCAGTGAGGCAGGGCTAAAGTGGGGCCTGCAGGGACATAGGTATTTTGAGGCTTGACCTTTGCTTGCTAGATCCATGTCATAGCAAAAGAGAAGGGCAATTCCCCAAGTCCTGTTCCACTTGTACCCCCAGAGCACTAAGATCTGGATTGTTGGCTGGATTCATGGAAGAATTACTTAGTGGAGAAGAATGTTTTATACCACAAGTAAGTGAAGGAGAGGCCATGGGTACCACTTCCATGGGGGTTTTTAAAAGAGGCACATATTCTTGTTAGCCAAAATTCAATTTCATAAGGAACTGTTTTCAGAAGGAATGACTTACTCTTGTGTTATAGATGTTCCTGTTACCATTTTGGTGCCTGAGATCTTGTATGCCCAGACTTTGGGGCTCACATTTCATTTCTTCCCTCTTGAGTTTGGCCTGAGCCTCTATTATCTCTCTCAAACCTACCCTTTCTGACTGACATTCCTGTAGCATCAACAGATGAAGAGGCATCAGAACATATTAGGCAGAGGAAGTGAGGCTGCCCACTGGCCTTCATGGTTCCTCTAGTCTAAGACAGAGTCTCAGAGCCCTGCCTGCCTATACCCTGTAGTGATGAGGTCCTCCTTCAGTTGCTTGGCATCAACTTCTTGCCTCTTTATTTCTCCTAGTTGCCCATACGTCCTGGTCTTGGATGAGGAAGGTGGGACTGCCAATGACTACAAGGGCTACGTAGTCCACAAATGGAGCTGGACTTCCAAGACGGAGACTTTGCTTTCCCTGGAATATAAGGTGGGCATGGACAGCACAGGTGGGGTGGCTTCAGCAACCTTCCTTGGGCTGCCCAGCATTAAGAGTCAGAGGGATACCTGTAAGACAAGTGCCTTGCCCTCAGGAGCTTTATAGTTTCATTCAGCCATTCCCCAGTTGGTGAGCAGGGGTTGGGAGCTGGCTGAGGTCAACTTTTCTCCAGCCTACAATGACTATTGGCTGCTGTACTGACCTTTCCTAGTAATATCTGTCCTATTTTATTTTTATTGTTAATATTACTATTTTGATGGTTTAAATGCCCTTCACTTTAGAAGGAACCATTATAGTAGTTGATAGCTTTATTTTTAATGCCTATACATGGCAATAAGAATAGCTAGTAATTCTATGTTGGTCTGCCCAGTTTCTGTTTATATAATTTTACTATGTCATGAAATAAAAAACCTGTAAGTCAAAGGTGGCTGACAGACAAACTCTTTTTTATTATTCATTTGATTGTTCAGACAGCCACTCATCAAAGATTTATTAAATAATAAATTAGTGTGGAATTACTAATATTAAATAATAATGATAAAGTTATTAATAAAGTAACTAAATGTGCTTGTTACTTTATTTAAGGCAGAGTTTCTCATCCTTGGCAGAAAAGACACTTTGGGATGGATAATTCTTTGTTATAACTATGCATTGTAGGATATTTAGCAGCATCCCACCAGATACCAGAAGTATCCTCTCCCCAAGCTGTGACAACTGAAAACATCCCTAGACATTGTCAGATGTCCCTGGGGGGTGGGTGGGTGGGAAATTGTTGCCCTTGATTGAGAATCACTGATCTAGGGGGTAGAAAGATAAACAATGCCCTTCAAGGAAACCCAAAGTCCAGGAGAGTAACACAAGATAGAGAAGATTAAGGGCAATTAGAGAGGGACAAATTCATAGGGATTCAGAGAAAGATCACAGAACACAGAATCCACTCAAGGTGGTATTAAGAGCGCCAGGGTAAGGGTTATGGATGGAAGTACTCTTGGAGTGTGTGGCAGGGCTCAGGTACCCTACCCCTAATCATCTGTCTCATGCCTGTCCTATTCATCCTCTGCATTAGTCACTGGATTTTCATCCTTATATCTGAATTCCTATAGATCACACCTCTGCTCAGAAACATTCAATCCCTTGAACATATCTCACCCTTCCTATCCCCTCAGCCTGAAATGTGCTCCCTCCTCTCTCTGCCAATCCAAATTTCCCCTCCTTCACAGCCCAGCTCATGCTTCTTCTCCATCCTGGCACTGTAGTCCACATCCATTTCTCTCTTCTCACAGTAACCCACAGTCTGGGTTAGTCATATGATAATTAGTCATGCTCTGGTTGCATATAAGAATCCTGTGGAAACAAAAAATGCAGATCACCAGACACAGCCTCAGAGAGATTCTGATTCAGGTGGTCTGTTATAAGTGCTAGATTTCTGTAGTTTTGATAAGTACTTCTGATGTTTGACCAGGTCAGAGATTGTCAGTCTAGGAGTGTATTGAGTTGTTGTCTTAATATTAAACTTTTTGTAGCTGTATGAAGTTTATAGTCCATGAAGATTATAAATTGGTTGCATACAGGCGCCATATATTATGTATCAGTGTGACCAAGTGGACAGAATGGAATGAGAGCCTGAGAAGCCTTATATAGTGCCAGCTAGCCAGACTCTGGCTCTGAAGCTGTGTGAAAATCACTCTGCTCCTCTGAGTCTTGACTGTCTAATCAATACAGAGTGGATCACTAAACCAGCCCTGCCTCACACTGCTTTTGTGGGAACTAAATAAAATAATGGCAGGGAAGTTGCTTTGACATCACTAAAGTGTTTTGGTAACGTAGTTCTGTTCATTATTCTATCCCCTGGAGCTGCATACAGAAATGCACAACAGGGGCTGGTGTAGTCAGAAGCAGCCTGGACTACACAGTGACCCTTGAGTTGCCTCAGGAGTGTGGGTGCATATGATTCATGTAGATAGAAGAGGGAAGGGAGAGCATTCTGGGTAGAAGGAATATCATCTGTAAAGGCTTGGATTTGAGACTTAGTGTGGCATCTTTAAAAGTTCACAGGTGCTTCTTGTGAAAGAAAGGGGGGCAGGAGGTGTATATGCTGTGGGGTGGAGGTGAGACATTTTGGATGTCAGGCTGAGGAACTTGCTTGTTGTTTTGTAGGCTGCAGTGGCCAGTTTGTTGTCACCCAAATACTTACATTTCCAGTGTTTTTCATTCCTCTCTGAAAATCTAAGTTTCCCTCCAGTATCATTTCTCTTCAGTCTGAAGAAGTTCCTTTAGAATTTCTTGAAGTGCAGATCTGCTGACAACAAATTCTGTTTGCTTTCATGTTAAAAAATATCTTTATGAAAGGATATCTTTGCTGAGTATGGAATTCTGGGTTGACTGGGGTTTTTTTTTTTTCCTTCCAGCAATTTAAAAATACTGTTCCACTGTGTATGTCCTCCAAAGTTTATGATGAGAATTCTGTATTTATTCAAATCATTGTTCATTTTTCTAGCTGCTTTCAAGATTTTCTCTTTAATCTGATTTTCTAAGTTTGACTAGGATGTGTTTAGGTATGGTTGTCTTTGTTCTGTCGGGGCTTTCCTGAGCTTCTTGAATTTGTAAATTCATGTCCTTCACCAAATTTGGAAAGTCTTCTGTCATTGTTTTAGGGAAAAATGTGCTCAATCTCTCCCCTTTCCCCCTGAGCCTCCAATTACATGTATTTTAGAGCTTTTAATATTTTCCCAAAGGTCTCTGACACTCTGTTCTTTCTTTTTCTTTTAATTTTCAAGAGAGAGAGAGCACGACCAGGGGGAGGGACAGAGGGAGAGAGAGAGAATTTTTTTTAAGGATACTCTGTGTGGACATTCAAGTTGACATTGCCTCTTTTTTAAAAAAAGATTTATTTATTTGAGAGAGAGAGAAAGAGAGTGTGAGTTGGGGGGTGCAAAAAGGGAGGAAGAGAGAGAATCTCAAGTAGACTCTCCACTGACCGTGGAGCCCACCACAGGGCTCGATCTCACGATCTTGAGATCAAGAGTCAGTGCTTAACCAACTGAGCCACCCAGGAGCCCCCAGGGAGAATCTTAAGCAGGCTCCACACTCATTGTGAAGCCCCACGTGGGGTTCAATCTCACAACCCCAAGATCATGACCTGAGCCAAAATTTGGTTAAGAGTTGGACGCTTAACTGACTGAGCCACCCAGGCACCCCGACTCTGTTCTTTCTTGTTCAGTTTCTTCTGTTCTCAGCTTGGATAATTTCTGTGGATCTAACTCTCAAGTTCACTGACTATTCTGATATCTTCATTCTGCTATCATGCTAACCCTGTGAGTTTTTAAATTTCTATATATATATTTTCAAGTCTAGAATTTCCATTTAGTTCTTTTTTAATATTTTCTATTTCTGTGCCGAGATTGTCTATTTTTTCATTTATTACAAATATATTTTCCTTGGCTTCATTGAGTACAGTTAAATTAACTGCTTTAAAGTTCTTGCCTGTTAATTTCAACATCTGGGACATACCACACAGGATTGGTTATCTGTTACCTTGAGAATGGCTCACACTTCACTGGTTCTTTACATGTTGAGTAATTTTAGATCACTGACATTGTGTATGTTGTCTGAGGATCTGTGGATTGTGGAGTCTGAATTTTGATATATTTCTCTGAAGAGTGTTAACATTTTTGTTTTAGCAGGCAGTGAACTAGGTTAGACTCACACCACAAACTTTGTCTTACCTGCAGTAGGCAGGAGCTCACATCTCAGTTCAGTTTTTCTGTTTCCCTAGCAGTAAGCTGTCTTGAGTCTTCCCTGCTCATGCATGGTTCAGGGATTAGCCAGGGATATGGATGGTTTATTCACAGAATTTGGAGCTCTATTTCTTTGGCACTGTCTCTTCTGGAATTTTATCCTTACTTTTCTGTGATTGTAGTTTCCATAAGTTTAGTCCTTTGGTTCTCTAGGCCAGGAAGATGGTGGTGTTTTGGCCATGACGGTGGCTTGCCTTCAGGCTAAAGCTATAAAGTAGAAATTCATCCCATGCTGGCCTTTTCTTTTAAGTTTTGATTCTTCTAAATTTGCCCGCTTTTGTTTATTCTTCAGAGACTTCAGGTTATTGTTTTATTGTATTTGTGTCAAGTTCTGTGGGAGGGTCAGTCTGGTAGGAACTGACTCAGCTGTATTGGAAGTACAACCAGCTGGTCAGTTTCTAAGTTGAGGGCTGGCATGCTCAGTTCAGCAGTGTGTAGAAAGTTGACTAGAAAGGCATTAAGTGTCTGCCTTCGGCTCAGGTCATGATCCCAGGGTCCTGAGATCGAGCCCCACATTGGGCTCCCTGCTCAGCGGGAAGCCTGCTTCTCCCTCTCCCACTCCCCCTGCTTGTGTTCCCTCTCTCGCTGTGTCTCTCTCTGTCAAATAAATTAAAAAAAATATTTTTTTAAAAAAAGAAATTTGACTAGAAAGGGAAAGATCAGAGGATGGGCTAGTTCAAAGATTAGTTATGGAGTTACTAGCCAGACCTGACACGACGAAGGGTAGCAGCAACATTTTTTAAAGGAGCCATTTTAGTAGGAAGATTCAGTGGCATTCAAGCATTAGCTGTAGGGGATAAATGAGAGGAGAGAGGAGTATAGATGACTCCACAATGGAGTATGTATCAGGGTGGAAACAGAAGTTTCTGAGAGGGTCAGAGATCAATGTAGTTTTAGATGTGCTAATTGGGCTCAGTGGCTTTTGTGGCATGATCCTCTCTTAGGGTGAGAGATTAGGGATGATGGATATATGTGATGGGTTGGCTCATGAATTCCCAAGAAGATGAGTAGTGAATGAGCTTGTAGAGCACCCGTATTTGGGGCACTGGAGAGAGGAAGAGAAACCACCCAGGGAGCAGGGATAATAAAAAACAGTTGTACTGTGCTAAGCCCTGTGCATGTTTTCCCATGAAATCTGCTCAGTGCCCTAGGAAAAAATTTCTGTTACTGTCCCCAGGCTCAGAGAAGCTAACCAACTTGCCTAAAATTGCTCCACTGGTAAGTAGCAACACTGGGACTTGAAACTTGGCAAACTGTAGCACTTGAGCTCTCAACCACAGCTCTATACTACACTCTCTAGAAGAAGAACAGGAGAAGGTAGGGTTTTTTCTTAAGTGGGAGTGATCAACAAGTTTGAAGATGTCAAAAGACTTGGCAAGAAGATAGCCATGGATCAAATGTTTTCCGGGTGCTAGAGAGCACTACCACACAGACTATAGAGTATGAGGAAGGGACTCAGTGGTGAGGAAATTGAATGTAGACTTTGGGCCCAATAAATGGAATAGCAGAAGGAAATGAAAGGAGTGAAATGAAGAGTATTCCTTAGTTCAGAGGAGTCCTGGGGTACACATAGATCAGGGACATTGAAGATGGAAGAAAGCATCACCACACAGCAGGTGGGGCTGTAGACTCCTACCTAGGCCCTTGGGTAGGGCCACTGTGCATACGTAACTCTCTGCACACGTGAACCATCCGGGGACCTCACAGGATTGCGCTGCCATATCCTGACAATATCTGCTCATGTGTGTTAGGGACCTTTGTGGCTTATGAAGCCACTTCTATAATCTTCATCTCATTTGAACCTCATACTAGCCTTTCAGCTATTTCCTCTTGAGAAATTTTAGCTTCAGAGAAGCTTGCTTGCTAACAGAGCCTGAACTGGAACTTACTTCTAGAACACAAAATTCTCAGTAAGGAGTGAGTTGCTGTAAAGGCAGCTCATCTTCCCTCTGTCTATCTGGGACTGCTACATAGGAAATCCCACCCTTTTGGAAATGATTTTTTAAAAAGGCCCCTTTGGTTCCTCCTCAGGGGAAGAGTAGTGACATATTTGGTGATTGAGGGGAGGGGACTGAGCATGTGTGGCTCAGCCCTGCTGGATTCCCTTTTGTCATCTGCCCACCCACCCACAGAGGAGTGCATTCTGGTGCTTCCTGCCTTGTTGTCAGCTTCCCAAGGCAGCTCTGTGTGCTCTAGAGCAAGGCTCATAGTCAGACTTGGTGCCTGGGTGCACATGTCTGATTCACAGATAGTGTAGGCTTATGACCCAACTTGCATCTCTGTCCAGCTCTACTAGAACCAAAGCTGATTTGCCTCCAGACTCCTATGTCTCTTTCACAGTTGGTTGTAAGCTCTGGCTGGAAAGGGAAGGGGCAGGGATAGGAAGGCATCATTTAGGTTTTCTGCCAGTCCCCCAAAGAAAGACTGGAATTCTTTCTTCCCTATGAAAGCTAAATTCCAACATAAGAACTGGTAAGATCTTACAGCTTTCTCGGCCCCAAGCCAAGAGGAGTTCTGTGCTTTGTGGTGGGGGAGGAGGGGAAGGGTGGATAATAGAAGCAGAGATTCCCTAAGAACTGTTTCTTCATCTGCAGGTCAATGAGCAAATTAAGCTGACGGTGCTGAGCCAGGACTCCATCATGGTCACCTTCACCTCCCTAAATGAAACAATAACACTCTCTGTATCAGCCAGCAATTGTCCCCATGGGGTAGCGCATGAAAAACGGGTAAGCCAAAGCAGACCAGGTACCCAGGCCTGACCCCAGGGTGTCTCAATGTGGGTTGCCAGTCCATATCTCAATGCCTGTGCTCCTCCTATCCCTCCACCCCCTTCCCCATGCAGGACCCTACGTCTTTCTCTGACTAATGAATGGACTCCTATTCATCATTCACTGTCTGATGTTAGCACTACCTTCTCTGTGAAACTTCTATCAGTTAGGAGTCTTTCATTTGTGATAGTCTCCAAAGCAGATTAGCAAAGCATGGAGAGAAACTATATTGGCTCAGTAAACTGAAAAGTCTATCAATAGGCAGCTTTAGGCATGGCTGGAGCCAGACCCTCAAATAATTCCATCAGATCTTCCCATCTCTTGGCTCTGCTTTCCTCTTTATTGGCTTCATTCTCAGGGAGTTTCTCTCCTTATGGTGACAAGATGGTCATGGGCATCTCTGGGCTCGTTATCCTACCAGCTTTGTTCTTCCTAGGAGGAAAAGGGCTTCTCTTTCCTAAGTGCTCAAGTAGAAGTGCCAACACCAACATTGCTGCCTCTGCCTGAAGTGGCCGCCATGGCCAGGAGCACGTGTTGCTCTCACAGGCCAGGCTTAAGTATCATGTCCATCCTGAGAGCTGAAGGGCATAATCAGCCCCGGTATACCACCTGGGTGAAGGATGGGGCAGGAACATCATGGTGCTGTTACCAGAAGAGGGAGAGATGATACTGGAAAGAATAACTACCAATGTGTGTTGATGACCCTCTCCACCACCCCCTTTCCATCTCAAGGAGAGTCCGCCTCTCCTTCTGCTTGGCCCTCCCAGCCATGACTCATCTCTATTCTAGCACTCCTTTATTTATAAACCTATCTTCTCTACCAGACTGAGAATTCCCTGTCATTCCTACTAATGTCTTTCTCCAGGGCTCCAGAACAGGACTGCTTCAAATTAAGTACTTACTAAATGTTTGTTGGGTGGGTAAGAAAACAGTGGAGACTGGAAGCCCAGATCTTCTATTTGCTGTGTCTTTATGGATCCTACTGTGTGCCTGATCCTGAGTGAACATCATGGAGAGAGATAGAGAAGATGGATCCCCAATCCCTGAGGGATTACTGGTCTAGTTGAGAACACTTGACATACACCATGAGACTGGGGTAACCAAGGGTTCATTGATGGAGCAAGCCACTTGCATTGCAAACAGTGTGCTTTGCTGGGATTAGTTCACTGGGGAAGGCTCCTTGGAACAGGAGCAGAGGGACCCACACCTCCCAATTTCTGTGGGCTCAGTCCCGGTTTATACCTGCCAGCCTGGAGGAATTATTTTTTTTGAAGATTTTATTTATTTATTTGACAGAGAGAGACACAGCGAGAGAGGGAACACAAGCAGAGGGAGTGAGAGAAGGAGAAGCAGGCTTCCCGCTGAGCAGGAGCCCGATGGGGGGCTCAATCCCAGGACCCTGGGATCATGACCTGAGCTGAAGGCAGACGCTTAAGGACTGAGCCACCCAGGCACCCCCATCCTGGAGGAATTATTAATAGCATCCTCTTTCACTCTCAAAAGTGTCCTGATTTGGATGTTCATTTATATGATCATCCAGAGGGCAGTTCACCCTCCCCATGTTCCTGTCTGGGACTGAGCAAGGCTCTTGTGCTGCAGGGGCATTTGCCACCAACATGCCACAGGCTCATAGACTCACAGAGCTGACAGAGCCCATTAGGAGCAGCCAGCCCAATGTTCTCACTTTACATGGGGACATGGAAGCAGGCATTTGTGAGGGACCCATGCTATATGAACAAGACACAGAGAACACCTGTGTTTCTCTCAGAGGAGAGCATTGCACCTGTTTTCCCACCACCTTTTCATTTGAGCAGCATTTCAATTTCATTAATTCATTAAATAATTCAATAAACATTGATTAGCACTTGCAGTGTGCCAACTTGGCTGCTGGGATGTAGAATTGGAAGAAATCTCACTCCCTCTATTCTCTAAAATACCTTCCGTCTAATGGAAGGGGGCAAAAGCATCAACACCAGTTGTAATCCAGCTGGATTGGTACAGTGTGCCAGGGAGAGGGGCACCATGGGAGCTGCTGGGGTACCAGGAGAGAGTGTTCGTTAGAAGGGCCCCATAGGAGCACCCAGGAAACTCAGATGCCTGTGACTTCAGGCTGCACTGATTACTTTAAAGAGCAGAAGAACCCCGGGTTTTGATCCATTTGGGCTAAGATGATGATCATGCTTATTGATGAGTCCACCTTGACCATTTGGTTCTATGCTATTACTCTACTCTAAAAATCACTTTTTTGGTATGTTATATGACTAAGTACACACGATGTATGAGGTCCTATGTCTCTATTTCTTAAAAACCTTTTTAGACTGTGTTTAAAAAATGTGAGCTTATTTTTCTTACCAAAGGCAATAGATATTAGAGAATTGTTCTTTCCCATAAAATGGTAGTGATGCTTCGTTTTCCTAACAACCTCTTGTTTGGTAGTCACTGGAATCTGAATCACAGCTAAGAACCAGGATGTAAGCAATTAAAGACCCCCATGAACAGCCAAGAGAGGTCACTCTCTGTCCATGTACCAAACATGCCCTCTGGGCCTAGGAAAACCCCTTAATAATTCAAGTCTTATTTTATCTTACCTGAATGCAATCTTAGAAGCGAGAACTAGAAGTCCAGAGCTGTGCGGTCCAATATGGTAGCCACAAGTCACAAGTGGCTACTGAGCACTTGAAATGTGAGAAGTCTAAATGCAGATCAGCCAAAAGAGAAAATACACATTGTGTTTCAAAAACTTAACATGAAAAGAAAATGTAAAATTTCTCATGAATAGTTTGATTCCATGTTGACACATCATTTTTTTGATATATTGGGTTAGATAGATATGTTGCTAGAATTAACTTTACCTTTAAGAGCTTTTTTATGTGGCTACAGGAATGTTTACAACCACATGTGTAGCTTGCGTTTTATTCCTAGTGGACTGTGTGGGTCTAGAAGGTGGTATCTTCATCAGGGAAGCTCACAGAGGCAGTTTGACAGTGTGGTAGAAAGCAGGAAAGTTATTTAAAAGGACATCATAATTCAAAAAGTGTAACTGTTTCGGGGACATTTAGCATAGGGCTAAGTAGACCAGTACATTAAAACAGCTTCTGGAAACAGTGCTGGGTTCTAGTCAGTAGTCATTGATGCTGACCCAGAAGACTGACTTGCCGTAGAAGCGTCGAGGTCATAACCCCTTCTGTTTGAGATAACAGATTTCAGACTAGATAAACAACAGCAAATGAGGAACTGTTGGATTTATTGTAGGGAACATGATTTCCAAATTGTTGACTTCAGCTGCCAGGTTAAGCATCTTGGAATACTTTGACACGAAATCTGGAGGCCCAGAAAATTGGCTCATGTTCGATTCTTGGGCTGTCAGAACTGCAAGGGGCCCCTGAGAAAACTTGATGATTGTGCAGGCTGGCCTAGGCTAGGAAACGGCCATAGAGCGTTGGGCTGGTCCCTTCCATTTCTGGGCCTCAGTGTCCCCATCTATATAGTGATATGTAAGGGCCTGCCCAGCTTCCACACTCTCCCACCTGGGACTTTTATAGTCCGTTCAACTTCTTCCTATGTCTGTGTGTTTGGGGTTGGTTATCGCTCATCAGCAAAATCCATGGCAGTCTAGAAAAGCTGAGGGTGGGAGGTAGGGTGGCCTCCTCCCACTAAGTTCCCATCACCGAGAAGCTTGTTAAATGGCTTCCCCAGACACGCATCACCTTGGAAGGAGCCACCTATCAGAGCAACAAGCAGAACAGCAGTCTCAGCTTTTATGGCCCTGCAGCCAGGCTCCTCACTAAATATTTCTATCAAGGCTGCACTTTGAAAGTGAGGCAACACCTCAATTTAAATGCTTTATTAGCCCAGAGCGCCACCTCAAATCCTTTTTGGAAGGAGGCTGGGTATAAATTACAAATAAATAAATAAAATTAGCCTAGAAGCAGCAGCTGAGGCCAAAAACCAGAAGGATGGTTGAGGCTTTGCTGTTAATTGGGTGCATCCTTTATGGAAGTCCTGCCTGCAGGGTAAAGAAGGACACATAGAGTGACCATCATTCTTCAGAAAACCTGTCCACTATCCATCCCATTCTCTCTACCTGAGGCTTCAATTCCACAGAAATTGGGCTGATGTGCGGGAATTCACTGAGCAGATGGGGAGAGAGGTGTGTACCAGCAGAGGGGATGACACCTCCTCCAAACCAGAGCAAAGCCTAGTTGTTGGTGGGCTGGGCTAATGGGCTTCTCTCCCCCTTGGCCTTTCCCTAGCTGCTGACCCGCATGGATGACAAAATATTTAAGATGAACCGAGCTCTGGCAGAGATCAAGAAGCGGTTTAAAAAGACAGTGTCACAATTTATGAATTCTGTCTTGCTGGCAGCAGGTAAGGGGCAGAAAGGTGGCGGGTGCCTATCTGATAACTTCCTAAATCTTGGGTCACCTTGCAAGGCATCTCTGAGGACAGCTTTTTACCACCCAGGGAGATGGGCGGACAGGGTGACTTCCTCATTGGTAGATGGGTGATAAGACTTGGGCCTCTGAAGCAAAGGTACTTTCTCAGGGCCATGTCACGAGTAATGGAGGCCTTCACCACCTTCAGTTTCTGAGGGCCTTCCCGTGTGTCCTCAGTGTCTCCTGTGGTTGTTTTATTTTCCTGGGCCTCCCACTGTTGCTCTGTAACTCTCTCTGACCTACTCCTCCATCTGGTTCACCTTTCAGCTCTATCTCTCATATTGTCCATCCAGTTGTAGATCCTGTTCCTCTCCTTGTGGACAATCTCAATAGAAGAGAAAAAAGCAGCCAGCTTGGGCGCCTGGGTGGCTCAGTTGGTTAAGCGACTGCCTTCAGCTCAGGTCATGATCCCGGAGTCCCGGGATCGAGTCCCACATCGGGCTCCCTGCTCAGCAGGGAATCTGCTTCTCCCTCTGACCCTCTTCCCTCTTGTGCTCTCTATCTCTCATTCTCTCTCTCTCAAATAAATAAATAAAATCTTTAAAAAAAAAAAAAAAAAGCAGCCAGCTTACCAGGCTGTGCCTGTTAGGCCACAGGGCTCCCCCTGGGGCCAGCCTGGTGACCTCAGGACCCCTCCCACATCGAGGCTCTCCTGCTGATGGGCCTGGAGACAAAGGAACAGTGACTTCCATTCTCTGCCACCCCCTGGGTGGTTCCCAGGTGGCTGTTCTCCAAGGAATTTCTCCTCATCCCTAAAGACTCAGTTCAACTATACCCCTCCTCCAGAAAGCCTTCCCTGATTTCCCCAGCAGAATGAGTCTCATACTCCTCTGGGTTCCCACAGCACATACAAAATGTACTCTAATTATAAATCTTAACCTAGCATTGTGAATATTTCTTTGTTTGCCCATCCCCCCTGTACCCTGGCTTGGAGTTCTCAGAGGCAGAGAACCCTGTTTGGGTCATCGGTATATTCCCAGCATCCAAGAAATGTTTTATAGGTGAATGAAGGAATGAAGGTCCTAGGCCTCAGAAGTTTTCAAGTCTAGTAGGGAAACTAAAACAAGAATACAAATAAATACAACAAAGAAAGTGATGGAAATTACTTAAATCCAGAGATATAGGGAACAGCATTCTCAGGGAAGAGAACAGTATGGATGCATTGTGTACCCTGCCTCTATGAGTGCAATGGATGTCACAGAGCTGAATGAAACATAGGCTTCTTGGCAGAAGAGGGATCTCAGCTGGGTCTTGACAAATGAATAGAAATGAGATTGATTTTTTTCTTACATTCAGCCAGCATTTACCGATCCACTAACTGTACTAGGGTTGGAGCTCTGTGCCGGACAGCAGAGGGGAGGCAGCCCAGCGGGAGAACGTGCAAGAGTGGAGGAGTGGCGTGGAAGATGAGCTGAAAGGCTGCTGATATGCAGAGCCCCACAGCAGGTCAGGGAAGGCTGGGCCACGAGGGAGAGTGACAGCTGTGTCTTCTGTTAACAGGCCTGTTCACCATAGAATACCCAGTTAAGGAAGAGACAGAAATCAGTCGAGCCAAGGTAAAATCGAGTCCCTATCTCGAGCGGAGCACCAAGCCAAGTTTATACTCAGGAGAAGCCCTCTTATTACGATCTCAGTCAGCCCGACCTGAATCCTCAATTGGAGAGTCTTTGAGGGAAGAGCCTAGGTCTGTTTCTATAAGCCCCACTCGGAAGAAGAGCATCAAGATCCAAGCCAAAGCCGTGGTCACACCCAGGTGGGCTTGGGCCTTCATTTCTTCTGGCCTCCGTGTGTCAGACATGGTGATGGGCAGTAGGCTCACAATGGAGAACAAAAGAGATGAGGCCCCTCCTTCTTGGAGCTGAAATATTAGGGGCAGGAGAAGATAGACAATAAACACATGAAGGAATGAAGTCATTTTAGGTAGTGATAAGGTCTAGGAAGAAAGTAAATCCGGGTCATGGGTTAAAGCAGGAGTTAGCAAACTAGGGCCATTCACCAAATCTGGCCCCCTGCCTGCCTTTTTATGAGTGAGCTAAGTAAGAGTTTTTGCCTTTTGAAGGGCTTGCGGGGGGAGAAGGACCAAAAGAAGAATATTTTATGACATGTGCAATGATATAAAATTTAAATGTCAGATCCATAAGTAAGGTTTTATTGGAACAGCCATGCCCACTCATTTACATATTGTCCGTAGCTGCTTTCCTGCTAAGACAGAAATGTTGAGTAATTATGACTGAGACCATCTGGCCTGCAAAAACTAGAATATTTACTATCTGGTGCTGTATAGAAAATGTTGACTACTGCCAGGGGTGGAGAGTGACTGGGAAGTGGGGTGGGAGGTGCTAAATGAGACAGCCAGTCAGGGAAGGCACTTCTGAGGAGGTGATATTTAAATGGGGACCCAGGATGAGAGATGAGAAGTAGGCAGCCACAGAGAAGGACGCGGGGCAGGAACAGCAGGCAGAGGGTAGAGCAAGCAGAGACCTGCGACAAGAACATACCACCATGCTGGTCTGTGTGAGGGAAAGAGAGACCAGTGTGGAGCATGGTGATGAAGAGGTGACATGGCTGTGAACTGAGGACAGAGAGATAGGCAGGAGCCAGATCAGGTGTCCTCGTTAGTGTTGTAGGAAGCCATCCCATAACTTTAAGACAGGAAGTGGTATCATCTGATTCATGGGGTTTTTTTAACTTAAAAAAATAAAATAAAAAATATGTATCTTTTATATTTTTCTATTTTAATTTTATATAATATTAATTATATAAATTTTAATATAATATTAAAAGGCTTGGGGGAAAAGCATTTTGAGGGCCTCATTAAAGTATTTTAATATAATATTAGTATAATATTTCTATATAAAAATACAGAAAAATGAACAAATCCTAAGTGTATAGCTCAATGCATACCACAAAGTGAACACACCTTATAACCAAACCAAGGCATAGAACACTACCAGCTCCTTAGAAGTGCCCTCTTGTCCTTGCCCTCCAAGCCTTCCTCCTCAAAGGGAGGAGTTCTAGCTTCATACATTTGTGGAGTTTTTTAAAAAACTTTATTGAAATGGAACTATTCAGTATGTATTCTTTGGCATCTAGCATCTTTTGCTCAACATCATAATCATGAGTTGTTGTGTATAGCAGTAGTTTTTTCATTCTCATTGCTGTATGATAACGTATTATTTGAATACACTACTAATTGTGCATTCTAATATTAATGGCTATTTGGGTTGTTTACAGTTTTGGTGATGACAAACTGTGCTAGTGTTAGCATATGTCCTTATTTATGGTGGGTGGAGCCCGGTGCAGGGCTCAATCCCAGGACCCAAGATCATGACCTGAGTCGAAATCAAGAGTTGGATTCTCAACGGACTGAGCCTCCCAGGCGCCCCTACAAATTATGTTTTTAATTTAATTTTTCTATTTGTTGCTGGTTATAGAAACGCAGTTGATTATATCTCAATTTAAATTTATTTTTAATTTACTTACAGTAAACTTTACTCTTTTTGGTGTAAGTCTGTGAGTTTTGGTAAATGCAGAGTTGTGTAACCACCACCATAGCCAAGACACAGAATGGTTTCATCACCTCCCACCGGCCCACCCCCAAATTCCTTCTTGTGGCCCCTCTGTAGACAAACCCTTCACTCACCCTTAATCTCTAGCAACCACTGGCCTGTTCTTTGTAACTATAGTTTTGCATTTTCTAAAATGTCATATAAATCGGATTATACTCTGTATAGCCTTTTGAGTCTAGCTTCTTTCACTTAGCATAATGCATGCAAGATTTATCCATGTTGTGGCACATATCAACAGTTCATTTATTCTTATTGCTGAGTAGTATTCTCTTTCAGGGAGCCCCAACACTATCCCCACATTCAGAGATTTACCAGAACTCATGGGATTCAGCATATAGTTGCACGAATGTATGAGGTTTATTATAGTGAAAGGATACGTGATATCCCCTTTTATTTCTGATGGTAATTTGGGTCTTCTCTTTTATGTTGGTCAGTCTGGCTATAGTTTCATCAATTTTATTAATCTTTTCCAAGAATCAGCTTTTGGTTTCATTGATTTTTCTCTATTGTTATTCTGTTTTCAATTCCATTTTTTCTGCGATTTACTTTTATCTTCCTTTTGCTTGTTTTGTGTATAAATTGCTTTTTACTAGTTTCTAAATTGTAAGCTTAGATTATTAGTGAGGCCTTATTTTCTAATATGCACTTAATTCTGCAAACTTCCTTCTAAGCATATTTTGCCTGCATTCCATACATTTTGAAATGATGGATTTTAATTTTTATTCCATTTAAAATATTTCCTAATTTCCCTGTGATTTCATCTTTAGCCCATGGGTTATTTAGAAATCCAATCTCTAATTTCCAAATGTTTGAGGATTTTCTAGGTATCTCTTTGTTATTGATTTTTAGTTTATTTCTGATATAGTCTGAGAACATATTTTGTATGATTTCTATTCTTTGAAGTTTGTTAAGGTTTGTTTTATGACCCCAGAATGTGGCCCATCTTGGTAAGTGCTACATGTGCCCTTGAAAAGAACTGTATTATGCTCTTGTTGGGTGGAGTCTTCAGCAAATCTTTCAATAGAGGATCATGGACAAGTGTCAGTGAGGTCCAGTGATAGTGCTGTTTAGTTCTTCTGTATCCTTGCTGATTTTTTGTCTACTTGTTCTGTTAGTTACCGAGAATAGAGTGTTGATGTCTCCAAGAATGATTGTGGATTTATTTTACCTAATTTCTTAAAATATGTATAACTGTTGAAAGCAAAAATTATAACATTTTTGAGATTTTTCGATATATGTCTTCAATATCTTCAAATTTTATCATATTTCTGCTTCATCAATCTTGGAGCTGTGTTGTCAGGTATAGCACATTTGGCTCTTTTATCATTATGTAATGTCCTCTTGATACCTGGTAATTTTTCTTGTTCTGAAGTCCACTCTGTATAATAATAATATACTCACTTCAGATTTCTTTTGATTAGTATTTGCTTAGCATAACTTTTCCATTCTGTTACTTTTAATCTATCTGTATCATTAAAGTATGTTTCTTGTAAATAGCATGTAGTTAGGTCTTGTATTTTTATCCAATATGACACTCTTTTAATTGGTGTGTTTAGACCATTTACATTTAATATAATTATTGATATAGTTAGATTTAAGTCTACTATTTTGTTATTTTTCTGTTTATATCCTGTTTTTGTTTTTTGGTTTTGTTTTGTTTTGTTTTTGCTCCTCTCTTCCCTCCTGCTTTCTTTTGAATTGCTTGAATATTTTTATTTTTATTTATTTATTTTTTTTTAAGATTTTATTCAGGTAGAGTGAGAAAGAGCACAAGCAGGGCAGAGGAGCAGAGGGAGAGGAAGAAGCAGACTTCTGCTGAGCAGGGAGCCCAATGTGGGGCTTGATCCCAGGACCTGGAGATCATGCCCCAAGCCAAAGGCAGACACTTAACTGATTGAACCACCCAGGCACCCCTGCTTGAATATTTTTAGTATTCCATTTTAATTTGTCTATTGGTTTTTTAGTATATCTCTTTGTTTTTTAATTTTTCTTTTAGTGTTTGCTTTAGGATTTACATTCTATATGACTTACCTTAAACACCCTATTTAGGTTTAGTATTGCCACTTTAAGGGAAATGTAGTAATCTTACAACCATATATTATGCCTCTTTATTCTCCCCCCATTATAGTACGGTTGTCAAATGTATTACATCTACATATATTGAAACCCCTTAACAATGTTATAATCTTTGTTTCAACAGTCATAAATTTTAAAGAACTTAAGAAAAATAGTTTATTGTATTTACTCAGATATTTATAATTTCTGTTGCCCTTCTTTAATTTATGAAGTTCTGAGTTTCCCTCTGAGATCATTCTCTTTCAGCCTGATGAATTTCTTCTAGCATTTCTTTTAGAGCAAGCCTGTTGGTGATAATTCTTTTTTAATTTTCCTTCACTTGATCACATCCTCATTTTGCCTTAATTCCTGAAGGATATTTTCACCAGATATAAAATTCTGGTTCAACAGCGTTCTAAGTATATTTAGTCAAATATTTATAATTTTCTTCTTTCAGTACCTTAAAGATATTCTCGTTTCATGATCTCCACAGTTTCTGATGAGAAATCCACAGTCATTTAAATTGTTGTTCCTCCATATGTACTGTGTCCATGCCCTTGCTGCCACTGCTATAGCAGTGCAGTTCTGCTGCTGAAACTGGCCTTGTGGCAGAGTCAGGAGAGGAAAAAGAAGACATAAAGAGAGAATTCTCTTCACACTCCCAGAATCACAGGGATCTCTTTTCTTCTTTCTTTGGCTAGAAAAAAGTTCTTTCCTCAGGGTTTTTATTAACCAGTTCCACTGTTCCCTTCAGATTCAGTTTACCTTGATTGCATTTCAAATATTCAGCCAATTTTGTAGTCCCAACATAAATCTAACTTGGTTTTGATATATCTCCTTTTTATATATTGCTAGATTTGGTTTGCTAGTATTTTATCTAAGATTTTGGTACTTGTGTTTATGAGCGAGATTGGTCAATAATTTCTCCTTTCTTGTCATGTTCTGGTCAGGCTGACCTCTTAAAACAATCTGGGAAGGGAGCACCTGGGTGGCTCAGTTGGTTAAGCATCCAACTCTTGATTTCAGCTCAGGTCATGATCTCAGGGTCATGAGATTGAGCCCCACATCAGGCTCCACTCTTAGCGTGGAGTCTACTTGTCCCTCTCTCTCTCCCCTCCCCCTCCCTCCA